GACACCTCTACCCACACAGATTTTAAGATACATTCGAAGATTTAGATCATTTTACCGATTCACTCGTGGGCGTGGGCTACTTACTGAAGCAGTACATCATTACATACCATGTATTATTTATCAGTATCTTCAAAATTTGCATGTAAATGGTTTAGTCTGGTCAGGTCCGTGACGTGTCGTGGCCTTCGCAGGCCTTCTTGTAGGCGTAGGGAAGGCCACTAAGGAATATGTCAAAGGAATTCCTGACGTCACTCTGGACTAGAAATTTCCTCGCAATGGAAAGTTTATTTCATATGCAAACGTTGTGTCTCGTGCGTGTGTGATCTTGTTGAGGATTTCTTAGAAAAACTGACTTAGTTCTTAGAATATAGAGTAAAGGGATTCCGCTCATCTTGTGCCTAGATTTTTAATGAGAGCATGTGTGTTAATTTGACTGTTTTACCGGTTCAATGGTCATAAACTTGACTTCTGAATAGAGGTTAGTTAGGGTTTTAATTCTATACTTCTGAGAGTGAATATGATCAAGAAAAGTTGTCGTTTTTTTTAAGTACCGCGATTCTTATTATAGTTGCACATTTTATGACTGTAGTACGAATTTGTTCTTATGACTTGCACATTTTTTGCATCACTTTGTTTATAACAAAGTGATGCATCGACGTCTAACCTTATTATAATGCTAATGGAATTTCTTGCTCGTTCTTCTCCATTCGATTCTACATTTTGGTATGAGTAGGTATAGCTTCACCTAGCTTCACTGACGTACTGACTAATACACTATTATTTATTTTGTATTTGTTGACGTTTCAAAAGTACCAAGTATGGTTTAACTCGTTGAGTATTGTCATGTCAAACACCAAGCGGTCACCGGTGACCGCAACCTATTGTTCTATAATTGTGTCTATAATGACGGTACTCGACGAGTTAATTGAAATAAATGCTTTGACTTTTATAAGTTATCATCTATCTACATAAACTTATGTTTGCACCTATTGTGTATTAGCACATCAGCGTAATAGCATACTTGTAAGAAATAGTTGTGGGCCCGGCAGACGAAGCGGCCGCACAATGACAGGCGCCGAGTTGTCGCACCTCAGTTCTGCTTAGGGCTACTACCATTCACTTAATAACTAGCGTTACAATATTCTCTATAGAATATTCAATATAGATAGTCGTTATATACGATTATAGCAAAAATATTTTTTAAAATGTAGCTGGACCCACGTTGGGCAGCATTAGTGTCGTCTATTCTGCTGTTTAGATAAATCTTTTTAATAGACAAATATTTGCAAAATAATAATAATGATAGTTTTCTTTTTGTTCCACTGCAATTCCTGTATGCTAAGAGAGACTAAACCAAAAAATCAATTAAACAATTAAGTCCGATACGTCTTAGGGACACAATGAACATGCAGTATTGGATGCTGGAACAAAACAAAAAAGATATCATTGAAACAAAGGGATCGGATGCCATTTTTTTCAGTTTTTAAATAAAAATAAACAAATGGCAGCCCTAAGTGGAGTCAGGATAACAGTGCGGTATGGGACAGCAAGTGATTCGGCCGATCCGAGTGCGTGCGATCGATGGCCGCCGCAGACGACGCGGCGCCGGCTCGACTCCGCGCACCCCTGTGGTAGCTTACTGCCTGAAAATATTTTAATAGACCACTTATTATGTTAAGAAACAGAGGAACAGATAATTTCACTTTCTACTAGGTACAACGGATGCGTTTTTTACGTAACAACTATAAACTTGTGTCCGTTATTCCCATGGATTGACAGATAACCCAACCCCTATGGCACTTAAACCGCCTATGCATTGTACCTATGTGCATTCGGAGTCGCGGAGAACCTAACGGGTAACCGGGGCTCCGGCTCGAAGTGCAGGAGAAGGAACGGGGTGGTTTTTAGTCAGTAAGAGTCTGACACTCCCTCCCGCCTCACCCAGGCGGGAGAAGTCATTAGATGATTTTCCCCCCTTAAAAAAAAAAAAACCGCCTATGCATTGTACCTATGTGTGCATAATGTAATGGTGTAATTATAGATGATATTTTATGTATGTGTGCAACACATTGTACTTAGAAGGCATTCGAAATATGCAAAACGTGGGAATTAATTAAAGTAATACAGGCTAGCGTTCTACCAAACTAATGATTTTAAAGACTTATGATCCTGTAGCATACCTAAAAAATTTTATCGGTTACCTACCTTATAGTTTTAAGTACTGTGTTTTAAAGGTAAAAAAGAAAATTCTTTAGGACATCCGCGGTATCACATGACTAAATATTTCAATGTTTATTTAACTAAATAAATTTGTATACATTTAATTGTTTTATCTTAACAGGGACTAAGCTACAGTGTCCCGTTTATCTCAAGTCGGCGCCCGCCAGTCTGCCTACGTGGACAGTAAACAGGCAACTCGGCACCACTCGCCAGATATAATGCATCCCGCATCCCGCAAACAGACGTCTCGCGGCTCCATCGCGTCGTAAACTTGTTACCGCACACACAGACATGTACGCATCATTTTATACTTAGGAAATATTTTGAAAACAGAACAGTCCGTCAGTCTGTTCGTCAGTGAAAGTAGGTGCTCGTTCCAAAATGTAGATTCGAATGGAAAAGAACGATGTAGAATATCCATGAGATAGAGTTTAGCTGGTGGTAACGTGGTGATGGTGTTCCACGTTATCACCACATGAACAAAAAATTGTCAATGTGTTAAATCAATATTCCAAATAGAAATACTAAATATTCTATCTCTCTCCAAAATATCATTCAGTGGCACTTATTTAACATCCATACCGTATTTTTTTATAATAACTATCATGAGATGAGACATACTAAATTAACTGATCGCGCACGCTGCTCATGAGGAAGAACCCCTCTGTGGTTCGAAACTAGTAGAGCTTTTCTCAGTATATTCACGTGAGTAACCCGCGATTTTTAGTTAATCCACACCGTCCTTCCACACTTTAAATTCATATTATGAAGAGAGAGATGGTACCTATGTACTATCATTCTTAGGATAGCCTCTCACCCAATTTTCTCACTCTTTATTTTATACTACCTTCAGCCCACGGCTTCGCCCTCGTTCCCGTGGGGTAAAAAGTAGCATACGTGTTATTCCAGACCATAATCTACACTTGGTTCAAATTTCATCCCGATCCCTTCAGGTGATTTGACGTGATTGAGTAACAAACATACACAGAAACACGCAAACATATAAAGTCACAAACTTCCGCGTTTATAATATTAGTAAAATTACTTAGTCTCAGATCCGATTTATTGTACGACCGAAGCGTTATTTATAGCATAACATAACATCACGCCTTTTATCCCCGAAGCGGTAGGCAAAGGTGTCATTACGGCACTTAATGCCACTGTACAACGTAACACCCACTTTTAACTATTATGTTATGATACATAAAAATACATACATACATATACCGGGCACAATTCCAGACTCCGTGCTACTACTGAGATTTTTTTTAAAACCCAGTAATACTTTGCCCGACCCGGGAATCGAACCTGAGACCCCTTGCCTGGCAGTCGCACTTGAGACCACTCGGCCAACGAGACAGTCATTATTAGGCGTTATTTATACTTGTACCCGAAATCTAGAATGAATTACATATTTCGTAATGTGTACACGATGAGACAATAAATTAATAAAATATACTGTCACAATTATCACATATTACGTATCAATAATATTTATAATCATGGGAATCGTATAAAGTTGCTATGTCTGTAATCAAATAATTATACATATTATCAATGATAACGCACATTTCTTGGTAAATATTAAGTTTATTATGTTAGAAATCCGCTTTCGCCAGAATGTAATTGGGGCATTATGAGTTATCATATCAATTTTTAGAATCGTACACCATATTATAGTGTACGTACCTACTTTTAATTAAAACTCAATAACTCACACATTCAAAGTTTATTATAAAACGGATTCATATACCTAAGAAAAACAGCGTAATGCTCGTCAAACTTTCGACTCGAATGGACGTTACCACTCTTTACGCGGGAAACTTTCTAATCTGTCACATTTGACAGATGACATCATCAATATGACATGACTAGTGACGTTCATTTAGTTGACTTTCATCGACTAATACTATGTTTGACAATCGATTCACTTGCTGTCGATTCGATTAAATCTTTACGTGACAATTTCGTTACTCTTCCCGCGGCTGTCGTGAGAGGGGTCTAAAGGACTATACCCTAGCCACATCCGCGCGTTTTGACCCTCTCTGTTTGGCTTCTATTGATCATAGTGTAATGTTTCATAGCCTATAGCATTCCTCAATAAGTTAAATTCCAACACAAAAAATAATTATTCGAATTGGACCAGTAGTTCTAGAGATTAGCGCGTTCAAACAAACGAACGTTATATAATAAAAAGTATAAAATTATTTAACCAAACCAAACCCACTTGCCAAGCGTGGAAGTTGCGAATGGCTGGCTCTACCGGAGTCACACCACGGCCTCACAGAAACCGACGTGACATAACGCTTACTTGTTTGTAGTGAGTGAGTTTACCGCAGGCCTAATTATTCCCCCCACCCTTATCCAATCTCCCTAATCTCTGAAACCCCAATAATCTACAAAATCCTCGTCTTCAAAAGGCCGGTAACGCCTCTGGTGTTCCAGGTGTCCATGAGCGACGCAGATTGTTTACCATCAGGTGATCCGTCTGCTCGATTATAGGCTTATCCCATAAAAAATACAAAAAAAAAAGAATATTGTGACAAATTTTTATATGGAGCTTTAAGGACTAACTTAAAATTCTAATTTTACAAGGTAGTTAAGTCTAAATAGACAAGCTATTAATGCTACTGACCGTAAGTAATTAAGTGGTTTTTCTAACACTCAATTCTAGATTCGATTATCTAGCTAGATACCTATGTAGATAGTTGTAATCTAATCGATATTTTGGTAATCGATTCGAAAAAGATATCGTATTGATTAGTTACAAACAACGGACACTCGTATCACAGCGTAAACAATAACTTTGAGAACATTTCGATTTTAGAATTATTAAACAAATGATGACAAGTGCAAGTGAAGATGTGAGTACCATTTTATCTTCTAATCGTTTCTGGTATTTTATACTGTTACTGTGCTAATATAGTATTGTTATTTTTCTAATAGGTTAAGCAACGGTTGTTGAGGTTCGTTGGTGGATGAGTGAGTGAGCATTTGCGGATAGCCCATACAGTGGTCGAACTCGACCATATTTTCTTATGCCGTCAAGTTATTGTTGTCTTATTAATATTTACGGTGAATAAATATTACTGCCTCGTTGTGCGAGTGGTCGTGTGCAACTGCTAGGCAAGGGGTCTCGGCGTCTATTCCTGAGTCGGGCAAAATATTACTGGGTTTTAAAAAAAATCTCTGTAGTAGCACTGAAATTGTGCCCGGTATATGGCAATAGGCTCGCCCCAATTACATGGGACTTATAACATAAACAGTGAAAAGTGGGTGTTACATTGTACAGTGGCATTAAATGCCATAATGTCCACCTCTGTCTACCCCTCTGGGGATAAAAGACGTGATGTTATATTATGTTAAATATTATAATTTTTAATTGCTAGACTTATAAACTCGAGCATTTTCCAAATTGATATTTAAAAATAGGTTAACAAGTTTGAATATTAAATAATAACAAGTTTATTAATATTAAAGAAATAATTTGATATTAATAAGTACAAAGTATGATTTCTTTAAACATTTATATTTGATCTAACGCAGAACAGTCTCATGTTATGTCCTAAAGGCATTTACTTAGGCACTAACGTTATATCTAAAGTCTAGGTTATCTAGGTCGACCTAGGAATATAATAAGTTATTTGTAATTTATTTTCTTGCTTTCGTCATAGTTGTGTGTAATTTAGGTACTCTTGTTTGCGTTATTTTGGTCTCCTTTATCTTAGGTAACGAAAACAGTAACCTATTTACGTTATCGGGGAGTTTCCAATAAATCAAATTCAACTGTTATCTATCTATCTACATTTACAATAAGATATAAAAAAACGACAGACCAATAAGTATGTTAATTTCTTTCAACCTGCGTACCAAGCGAAAAGATGGCAAGTAAGTAGTAAAGCAGTTAATGATGGGTATTTTAGGATAGGTGATACTATAGAAACATGAATTGGGATGGTGACAGGGTATGACAATCAAAAATCTAATTAGTCCGTCAGTTAGGTAATGAAAAAAAAAATAAAAAAATATTAGACACGTAGTTATTTATTTTAATCGTATAATAAAACAATACTTAGATAAAACAAATCAAATTTATGGAGTGGGGGCTTTTTTTTAAGGGGGCAAAATCATCGAATGTCTGCTCCCGCCTGGGTGAGGCGGGAGGGAGTGTCAGACTCTTACTGACTAAAAACCACCCCGTTCCTTCTCCTGCACGTCGAGCCGGAGACCCGGTCACCCGTTAGGTTCTCCGCGTGGGGGCTAAAACGTCATTTCTACGTGTAAAATGTACATACGTAGAAGTGACGTCACACGACATTTCAAATCAATATATCTTCGAAAGTAAAGTATTCGTTTCTGTAAGAAAATAAAAAATACGTATCCAATGATTTAAAATAATCTACCAGACGGACATTTAAATAAAAATTAGGCGTCTACCCTATTATCATAATTCGCTCAGTTAGGAACATATTTCACATAGTTACGACGATCTGTGGTCGGATTTCCATGCGTCATGTTATGCATGGCATTCCCATAGCTCGCTGTTCACATACTCAAATACCACTGCCTACCACCATACATACATACATACATACATACGTACATAACGTACGTACGATTCTTATACACCTCTTTCGCTTCATCACCAGTCAACAGTCTTTTCATGCATGCTCGTCGGTTAAGGGCTCTGTCCACCACCACAAAGTTTAAAAATCATTAACTAGTTTCCCTGTCTGTCCCTATATATGCTTTAATTCTTTAAAACTGCGCAACGAAAATTGATGCGGTTTTTTCAATAGATAGAGTGATGAGCAAGGTTTATAAGCATGTATAATTAAAAATACCCACTTTTTTTTCATTATCTAGATTAGATTAGATGTTCTTAGTCTTTGAACAAGGAATTAAAAGTTTATCTAATACTTATATTAATACTTTATATTAGCTTACAATGTCGTGGTGGCCCGGAGGTTTAAGACGCCCACTTCTCATGCATGAGGGTGCGGGTTCGAAACCTACCAACGGCAAGTACCAATGTGACTTTTTCCGAGTTATATGTACTTTCTAAGATTATTTAGACACCACTGACAAACGGTGAAGGAAAAACATCGTGAGGAAACCTGGACTTATAATTTCTAATTATAAGTTTGAAATCGCCAACCCGCATTGAGCAAGCGTGGTGATTAACGCTCTAACCTTCTCCGTGTAAGAAGAGGCTTTGCTCAGCAGTGGGCATTTATAGGCTGTTGATGATGATGATGATTAGCTTACCTAATGGTAAATCTAAATTGTATAAGTAGTAATACATTTGTCACCTACTCTTCACGCGGGTGATATTTCTACTAGGTACAACATATGCTTTTTTAAGGGGGGAAAATCATCGTATGTCTTCTCCCGCCTGGGTGAGGCAGGAGGGGGTGTCAAACTCTTACTGACTAAAAGTAAAAACTACCCCGTCCCTACTCCTGGTTGCACCGGAGCCGGAGCTGGAGTCCCGGTAACCTATTAGGTTCTCCGCGACTTCAAATCGGCATCAGCCCTTTTGGGCCCCTCCGTGGTGGTCTGATGGCTCTTAAAGGCGCGCGCGTAACGCGACGCGCCGTAAGCTCGGGTCTGGTTTTGGTCGGAAGGGGAGCCACAGCCACCCATGCTCGCCGTCCGCAGGCCCGCGCTTACGGTGACCGGAGATCGTAGGTACTACTTATGCTAATGTACCAACTTGCCAAGCAAGCAAATAGCAAACCCCTCTTATCTACGGTGACCAGCAGGTTGGTCTATCCTTTCCTACTCTACTATTACATCTTCAATTTAATTGTATTGACATTAAGTCGAAAATGTAATGAATAAATTGACAGATTGGAGTAGGTCACATCTTTTAGCCATCGACCCTCACGACAGCATATGCATCCCTATCATATAGATGGTTGGCAGGCCACAACTGTGCGCTTCTCACGTACTTTCTACCTCGCACAGCAAAACTGTGGAATGGTCTGTCATCGGCGGTATTTCCGAACCCCGATGCCTTTAAATCTTCAAGAAGAGAGTGTATTCCTTTTTATGAGGCCGGCAACGCACCTGTGACTGCTATGCTATTGCGGGTGTCCATGGACAGCGTTGATCGCTTACCATCAGGTGATCCGTCTGCTCGTTTACCTCCTATACCATAAAAAGGTGGGTCTGCTGTGCTGGCCACTGTAGCTAGAGAAGGCCTTCAGAGTCCAGTTGGCAATAGACTCTTACGGGCCGTTGATAACGAACTAAGCGCTCAAATAGGCACCTAATTGTTTCTCTAAGCTCCACAATTCACAAGTATGGGTCACATAGTACCGGTACTCACATACCATTAGTATGTTGATGTGACCTTAAAAGGCCGCCACAACACAGCACATCGTGTTTTTAGAAAGTTATTCCTATCTCACTCATGCCTTGTGTCACCAGCATCTTCTATCCCACTCTACACGTACGATCTCAGATCCATTCAGGTTCACTTTAGTTCTACGCAAGATGCGTTAGTGTATAGTGTTTAAATACCATAAATAGTGAAATTGTGATAAATAAGGATTTATAATGGAAAACGTAAGTATAAATGTAAGTTTAAATACCTGTGTATTATTCGTAATACTACAATGCCTTGTAAATAATAATGAACCTTTTCACGTAGCAATAGAACTTAATATAGTTAACTTTAATTAGTATGTAAACATCGGTAACCAAACTAAACATAAGTAAATACTTAGAAAATAATTATGTAGGCCATTTAACTCGATTTCCAAAACACTTATTGCCAAAATCAGTCATTTTCAACAATTAAGTAGCTCAATAAGTAATCTAAACCAGAAAAGAAGTATGTACCTACTTCTAAGATAACAAGCTGCATAAAACAATTATAACGCACATTACGTACGGTACATAATTAGATTATTAATTAGGTATAACTGTAAATATACCCTTAACCGACAAGCGTGCATAAAAAGACTGACTGTTGACTACTGTTGAGTAAGCGAAAGAGGTATGTAAGAATCGTAGCAATTGGTGTTCCATAGTATCTGTCTACCCCCATGGGAGACAGGCGTTAGGTTATGTATGTATGTAATTGTAAATAATTCTTAGGTTCCGTTATAAACTCGACTTAAAAAAGTTTGGGTAGTAGGGGCTTACCTATAGAACAACACCACACAGGCCATGAAGTACCTACTTATGTCTATAGTCTAACGTCACAGACAAACCTTATTTATTAATATCTACATAACATAAACATAACGTCACGCCTTTTTATCCCCAAAGGGGTAGGCAGAGGTGCACATTCTGTCACTTAAAGCCACTGTACAGTGTGCACTCAATTTTTACTTTTATGTTATGAGTAATGTAATAGGGGGTGAACCTATTGCCATAAACCGGGCACAATTGCAGACTCCGTGCTATTACTGAGATTTAAAAAAAAAACCATTTATACTGTGCCCGACTCGGCAGTCGAACCCGAGACCACTCGGCCAACGAGGCTGTTATTAATATCTAATGTCACGATAATGTCTAAAAATCTACTTTATATTCCAGGATGCACAAAAACCCGACGAAGGTGAAGAGGAAGCTTTAAATAATAACATAGTACATAAAGAAAAACATACAGATGACGTCCAAAAGGATAAAGAAGTACAAATAATTACAAATAAGTTTAAAAGGAGATTTGAAAATTCATTTACAAATATATTTTTTCTAGTTTGTATAACTGGGATCTCGTTAGGCATACTGTTAGAGATTGTCAACGTTGTCAGACGAAATCAAAAACCCGAAGTCGAAATTGTAACAGAAATTGCAAGCAGTAGCCTAAATCCAAAATATTGGATGTACCCAAACACTAAGGCAGTAAATAGCAGAGATGATTTTCTTAAACACGTGCATGTGGTCCTTGAAAGAGTGGGATACGAGAAAAGTACAAATGAAACGCCCTGGGACCTGTTATGGTCGTATCCCAACCCATTTACTGACATCAATTTAAAAAAATTAAGTGGCAATCAGAAAGTAAACCATTTCCCGGGCACAGGGTTCATCACCTGTAAAGTCGAATTGGCAACATCTCAATCAGATTTTATACCAAAAGCTTTCAGATTACCAAAAGACAAAAATGACTTCTTGAAGTACGCTGAGAATAACAAAGACGCATTATTTGTACAAAAACATAACAATCATAGAAATGTACATTTAAAAAACGTGACTGAAATAGATTTGTCTAACAACAAGACTTTTGTTCAAGAATTTATTCAAAGACCATTCTTAGTGGACGGACATAAGTTCGATATTGGCGTGTATGTGGTGCTGGAGTCTGTGAATCCTCTCAGAGTTTATTGGTACAAGGGCGACATACTATTCAGGTAATGGTTTACTTCATCAACGGGTAGATTTATTAAGAAAGTACCTACCAAAATCAATCTTACAATTTTTACCTTGCAGATTCTGTCCGACAAAGTACTACCCATTTGATCCAAGTAATGTGGATAAGTATGTGATAGGTGACGACTATTTGCCTACTTGGGAGGTGCCCTCTCTGGCACACCCCTACACCGCACTAGGCAATACTATGAAGGAAACCTTCGACATCTATGCCAGATCTGTGGTAAGTGACTACACCGAAGACATATCAGTACAAAATGGACACAGACGCATAGTACGCTACAGTTAAAATGTTATTATGTTGCAGGGTAAAGATACTACCAAAATGTGGCAGGATGTCCAGGCAGCTATAACCGAGATATTCATTATGAAAGAATCGATCATCGATGACAAGGTCAGTGTTATCAGTATAGTACCTAAGCACCATCTTTATAATTACCAAGTAAGCGTTCCTTAACCACAATGAGTGACACCTTAAACAACTACTGTATCGCCTTCCTCACGTGAACAAACTGAAAAAAGCTCTACCAGTTTCAAGTCTCAACGGGACTCATAATCGCAGTCAACTTGACAATTAAATTAACCAGACGTTCAAGTAATCTAGTATGTTTCGCGATAGTTAATTACATTACTGCTGTTTCAGTTCAAGGCATACTCGTCGCCAGAAAACTTCTTCGAAATGATGAGGTTCGACTTGATCGTCGATGAAAATTTAAAAGTGTATCTACTTGAGGCCAACATGGGACCAAACCTAAGTTCTAAACATTTTCCACCAAACCAGCTTCTGTATGAACAAGTGTTGTATAATTTGTTCTCGCTAACTGGTGTCGCACAGGCGAAGGTCGCTGTTAATGCTGCTGACAAAGGGTAAATACCATCATCAGTCTTTAGTGGAACTAATTCTAATGCGCCATTACACCCATCTCTTCAAAATTTTAAGAAACCCTTAATCTAAAATAGATGATATTTAACGACATTTTGATTTTCATCAACCGACAAGTGATACCTAAGTACGGGATTCGGTAGGATTTTTTTTTTTTTTAAGGGGGGAAAATCATCGAATGACTGCTCCCGCCTGGGTGAGGCGGGAGGGAGTGTCAGACTCTTACTGACTAAAAACCACCCCGTTCCTTCTCCTGCACGTCGAGCCGGAGCCCCGGTTACCCGTTAGGTTCTCCGCGACTCTGAAACGGCATCGTGGGCCCCATCTGTGGTGGTCTGATGGCTCTTTGAGGCGCGCGCGGAACGCGACGCGCCGTACGCTCGGGTCTGTTTCTGGTCGGACGGGGAGCCACCCATGCACGCCGTCCGCAGGCCCGCGCTTACGGTGGCCGGAGATCGTCTCGCGATCCCCGACGCCCGGTGTGTCCTTCGCGATGGTTGGGTTGTGAGGAGGCAGCGCTTCGCTGCCTCACGCGTCCCGGGATTCGGTAGGATAGGTGCTACATCACGCTAAGTAATCTTTAGTTAAGGGTGACTTTGTGGGCCGTGGTCGGTTCGTTGGTGATAACTGCCATTGAGAGGTAACTTCAGCAATCATTGATTCAATAAAAAACACTTTCAGTGAAACAAAAGCTGCAGAAGACATGGTATCAGCTGAGAAGAACATAGCGGTATATGGAGACGAGTGCAGGACTCTCTGTAAAGACAGCTGTGAAGTTTCGGATCTGTGTCGTCTATGCAAGCCGTGCCTTACAGTCAAGCTGAAGAAGACCTTGTTGGCTGCATACAGAGAATTCTTACATAGGGGAGACTTCAGAAGGCTTATTCCACCGCCTATGGTCCCCAATCAGGTACATTTTGTAACTCTATCTATTTAACATAACATTCCGCCTTTTATCCCAGAAGGGGCTAGACAGAGGTGCACATTACGGCACCTAATGCCACTGTACAATGTAACACCCACTTTTCACTATTTATGTTATGAGTTCCATGTAATAGGAGGTGAGCCTATTGCCATATACCGGAAACGATTCCAGACTCCGTGCTACTACTGAGATTTTTTTTAAAAAAAACCTAGTAATACTTTGCACGTCCCGGGAATTGAACCCGAAACCCCTTGCCCGGTAGTCGCACTTACGACCACTCGGTCAACGAGTCTCTCTATCTATTTAACTAAACTAAAATATGTATTGTAGCTACAATAATGTTTTGTTGCAGGACATAAAAGCCGTATTAGAGGAAGTCAAAGATCTGTCATTGAACAATAAACTTCTACACTTGTGGTACCAGGGGAAGTGTAACCAAGACTTGACCTGGTGCTTGTAATAAAAATATATATTAAATCTACTTAAGTTATTTAAACTTTGTGTTATTATTACTATCCTATTCAGTGGCATAGCGTATCTTGACGGGGCCCCATATAAAAATTTGTTTGGGAGTCTTTATGAAAGGTAAAAAATTCTCAGAAGAGATTTTTTTTTACATAATATCTATACTAATAATTTGTGTTAAAGCCGGAAACTTTCTAAGTCATTTCCTCTGCCCGAATTGTCGGAAAATGATTACTTTAGTTTTTCTAAAGTTTCTACCAACCTTTGAACGCATGCATTTTGTGATTACTGAAATAAAATATAAATTGAGAAGTTTTATATTTTTGTTTACACCCATTGGAGGCCCCGATAGTCCGGGGGCCCCATATAATTGATACGGCAGATACGGCGCTAGCTTTTTTTTAAGGGGGGAAAATCGTCGAATGACTGTTTCTGCCTGTCGTCGTCGAGAGGGAGTGTCAGACTCTTACTGACTTAAAACACCCCGTTCCTTCTCCTGCACGTCGAGCCGAAGCCCCGGTTACCCGTTAGGTTCTCTGAGACATACGGCGCTAGCTACGCCCCTGATCCTACTTCCTACTAATATTATAAATGCGAAAGTTAGTGAGGGTAAGTTATACATGTGTGTGTTTATTACTCTTTCACGTCACGACAAAATCCTGACAGGATCGAGTTGGAATTTGGAACAGGGGTAGATGATGGTCTGGAATTCGGAAAACACATATTTTTATCCTACGGAAACGCGGGTGAAGCTACTGACAGAAGCCATATAGTACATAATATTCACCTCAGTCATAGTTCACCTACTTACAATAAAAGTATCTAGGCACCCAACAAACAACATAAAAAATCTAGATCTGTCTACCTACCTCCGAAGTTTTTTCACCGACAGTATCAGGGAAGGCCTGCCCACACTACGGTTTCTGCTCCGTGATCGTCAGCATTGTCACTCGAGCACTTTCTTGACCCATTGGTAATCTAATCAGTCTCAGTGACTCAAGTACTTAGGTCTTGAATCACTGGGACTGATTACTGCTTCAGCTATTATTTTTAATTTTGATTTGAAAGGTCAAATTATTTACTTTTAAGACCAAATGGGCAATTTCGAAAATCAATTTAATAGGTGAATATTAAATACTGTTTATCTATCGGACTATCGATTCGACCCTTTAGAAAAGCTAAGTAGGGTATTTAGGGCCGATCTCCAGTCGTCAGAAGCTATTTTTATTTCGGGTCGGATAAACCCGTATTAAAACCGAAAACTTCTATCTTCTATCTACTTAGGTACCTACCTAAAATCTTTTTAGAGACAAATCGAAGATTAGCCCTTAGCAGCTTCATGGTTAAAAGATGCGTAACTGCTTAGGTAGGTAGGTAGCTTTATATTGTAAGCCTAATAGTATTTAATAATAATACTACTAACATAATTAACAATAATTCATACTCACCTAATCGAATATCATGACCAAACGGATGTACTTAATAAAAACTTTATTTAATACCTAATATTTTACATTTAAAGTTTAACTTTATATAAATTATATCTATTTATAATTTTGTGATTTAATTGTTTAATTAACAGTATTATCATACTTTAAATTACTTGATATTGTTTAATAAATTGTTTGAATACCCACGTGTATGATTTGAAACGACAGTTGCTTGTTGACCGTCATAGAAAGTGTTTGAGGAATAAAGTGTACTAAATCAGAGAATAACCGTGTTTAAATTCTACAATCCCTTGGTTCTGAAGCTACTCCTTTAATATGTATATTTTAAGTGTGAAACACACATCTTAGACCCCTAATAATCGTAAGACATCATTAGGAAACATCAAAAGGATACCGGTAAGTAGCACCCAGGGCCACTCTTTAAAAAAGCTAAGTAAAACTAATTAGGTACATACCTACCAATACGAACCTAAGAAGCCTCGACATTGATAACGAGTCACAGCAAAAACCTATCGCTAAGTCATGATGGTGATGAATTTAAACCTTATCGTTTTTACGATTAAATTGAAAATCAATTCATATTTCTTTGTCAGCAGATTTGGTTATTATAACTGTAATAATTATTATTTTTAGACTCACAAGGATGGTACTGAATATAATCTTACGTAGCGGTACTGGCTAGCGCTAAGCAGTGTCTCCAAGACATTGGTGGCATTTGGTGAATGATGGGTGCACATAGCAGGAAAATACTTAAATATAATATAATACTTATTTATGTAGTTATCAAAACAATATAGAGAGTATGTTTTTTGAAAAATAAAACAATACAAGTAAAATAATAATTATTATTTTATTACAATTAAAAATTACACAGTTAAAAATTTACAATAATAGTTTATTGGACCATCGATTGGAGTAAACCTAGTATGTAACTACCTAAATCCTCATCCTGGTTGGTCCAGGAGACATATATATTTTTGGTACTGTCCTCTTCACCTTCAACTTTAATTAGTACTGATTCAACAGATATGTTGGCCTCTGAAATCGTAATCGTCCATCCCTCCAACTTTTCTGATAGCAAAGTTTTCAATTTCTCAGCGGTTTTAACAGATGGACCAGGATCTTCAAAGCGGACTGTACTAGTGAATCTAATTATATGTCTGTTGATACCAATCTCATCACACATCTCATCAATATCAAGAAGAGATAGTCTGTTATCCCGTACACATAATATGCCATTAACTACACGCCGTCTCTTCGGGTCTGGAGGTTGTGCATTGTAGCGAACAGCCTCTGCTTTCAACAACCTCAAAGATACATCTATGGGAATCTTAGTTGGTGTATTAATAGTACATGTTTCACCATTGGCAGGCATGTAACAATTAATCTTAAATTCTTTCTCAATTTTATCTTTCAAAAACTCCATTTTCTGAGCTTCACCGTGTACTAACAAAACATTCTTTGGCTCGCAGTACTGTATCAGTTGCATGATCCCTTTAGCATCTGCATGAGCTGAGAATGACATGTATTCTACAGCCATTTTCACTTCCACCACTTGGCGGTTCTCAAATTCAACCTTTTTAGCACCATTTAGAATCTTGTGACCAACTGTGCCTTGTACACAAAAACCTGGCATTATCACCATATTTTGTTCATAAGGTGCCCACTTTTTAAATATATTTAAGGACAAACCAGCATGCAACATTCCAGGGGTAGCAAATACAACCATGGCTCCAGGGTTGTCAATGTAGGACTTGTCAAAAGGTTTGATGTGCTTAAAGTCAAACATGTTTCTTTGTACAAAGGTCTTCCTTATCTTCTGATTGGTCCAAGTTATAAACATCTTGTAGTAGTTGTTTGCTTTCTCTGTTAATCCAAGTGCAAAATAAACTGGATATTTTAAATTCATTCTTTCCCAGTATGTTTCTAACAGAATGCAGAGCTCTTGTGCTCTCCCTAGAGCAAATACAGGAATAAGAACTTTGCCACCTTTCTCAACACATTCATGGACCTTCTTCAGGAAGTCTCTTTCTCTGCAGCGCTTGGAATCTCTGATAGTAGTAGCATAAGTTGATTCTGTAATGAGTAGGTCTGGCCTACACTTATCTATCCAGGCAGCTCCTAGATGCCTGTCAGGAGTCATATTGTAGTCACCAGTGTACACTACTGACTGGGATCCAACACGAATCCAAAACATGGCCGCTCCAAGCACATGCCCAGCATAGTAAGCTTTAATCTCTAGTTCATTGTCTACCATCACAGACTGGTGTAAAGTTACAGCAGTTACTTTCTTTATACAATCCTTGATCATTTGAGATGTGAAGAAGTTAGATTCTCCTTTTCTCTCAACAGCTACTTTCCTCATGTCCTCCAGTAGTATGGGAGCAATAGCTTTGGTGGGATGTGTCATATAGATGGGACCTGTGTAGCCAACCATTTCAGACATGTAAGGTAGAGCCCCGCAGTGGTCGAGGTGGAAGTGTGAGATGATGACACAGTCTATTTGGCTAGTGATAGGACCTTCAGGTACGATGTATGAGAAGTCTGGGAAGCGCCTCTCATCATTGTAACCCATGTGCATTCCACAGTCCAACATAATGTTTTTGCCTCCCATGGACAGCAAAATGCAGCTACGGCCGACATCCTGGCCGGCTCCAAGAGGAGTAATCTTGATATCAGGCATGACGAAATGTTATCTTACCGTTGTGTTATGTACATCAGTAAGACGCAGTTGCTATTTATTTATGATTGTTATGTACTATTCACAATAAATGATTATGAGTAATAATTTGGGCACGTTTTCGAATTATTACTTATCAAGACACAATCAATATTTTAATATATTGTAACAAAACTAATAACCTTGTAAAGTTGTATGATTATGATATATCACCAGTTCACTCTTATAATAAAATGTATGTATGTGCTCTATGCTATATTCATACAGTGTATGACAGATAATATAAATTCTGTACAAATATGATATTACAAGTAATATTTGATACAGTCGGCACTCGGTAAACAAGTCTCTAATGAGTTTTTGTCATTTTACATTTTTGAACGAATTACTGAATGCAAAAGACATAAATCATTCAATCATTTTATGGCATTCATTTTAGGGACTGTCATGAATGTCAGCAGTGTCAGTGTCACGAGGAGGATGAGAGGATGCATGGTAGAAGTCTTTGATGCATGATGCTTCTATAATCCATGGTTGCATGGTTCTCTTTCTTGGTTTGGCTGATAATGATCGTAAATTATGTTTCTCTCAACTGTCCCTAGAAATAATTTATAAAAAAGTAATTAACTTAGTTATTAGACTACAAAATTTTAATTAAATTGTGATTTCCAAAAATAATTAATAAAATACAACCACACAAAAATCATATGTTTAATAATGGCAACTGCATTGTAATGTCATTGTATGAATTTCAAGTTGTCAGCTGTCGATGTCAAGTCAAACAAACGTCACTTAGGTATTTGTATTAGAAAATTATAATTGATTTACCAATTCTTATTTTTGTTTTACAATTTAACAACGTTTTATTACACATTCCTAATTACAAGAAAGGTCCACCTATTACTTTCTTAAGCTATATTCGTGGAATACTTCATATGTTAGACAGTAACTTAGTAAGTATTAACGCCGACACTGCTAACGAACGTTATTGTACTGTATTAAAGTTCTTGTTGTGATAAGCTTATCATATTTCAGACAGCGTTGCTTACCGGCTCGTGGAGAACGGACGTGTTCCTCCTGTAAACATACATACGGCAAATCATTGTAACCATTTTAAGATAATCTCATATTATGTCTGGCGAAGGTTCAAGTTTAGTAAATGATAATAAGAGGGTGGCGTTGATTACCGGCATTACCGGCCAGGTATGTGACTGTTTACTTTTTTACAATTATTATTTTCCTCCGTGATGGCCAATACTCGCCACGTTACTCACTATAAATCGTAAGTTTATGGTTAATTTTACTCAGTATAGTTTTATTATGTCTAAAGAGTTTTTATTGCTTATGTATCAGTTAATACGTTTTTGGATAATGTATACCAGCTTTATTATGCTTTGATATAAATTAACCCACTCAATTGTACATAATATGTTCTCTAAAGTTAAATAGTAGGTACATATTCAACAGTTCATCACCTATTTGTGATGTATTACTTAGATCCTGTTACTGGATACTGATAATACTAACATGTTAATTATATTATCTGATGACTGATTCACAGAATGATACAATTCTTACTATCAATATTAAATCCATATTTGTTTATCATTTTTGATCTAGTGTCTACAGTATAAATTCATTATGTGATATGTTAAAAAATTTGGTAATGTAATATTACTCATTTAAATATATAGAGGGGTGAATAGAGGTGCACAAAACTGAGTATTAACTTCTCATCTGCTGGCATATGAGACATAATAGAAAACACAATGTGTTTCGTATATTCGTTGGTTAAATGTGGTTCAATGTTATATATGTACGCATATTTACATGAATTGTTTGTTTTAAGCTACTTAAATGTGTACAATAAAGCTTATATAAATAAATAAATAAATATATGAAATTAAAGGAACAAATTATGGTCTCCTATGTGTTGTAACTTGTATCATTAGGATACTCAAAACAGCTGTTTAAAAAAATAATAACATAACATAATGTTTTCTAGCAGTAGTGTAACTATAATGTCTTGAGTCCAGTTGCAAATTTATTGGATTTGCCCCCTCTCCCAGTTCAAATGAAAACCTCTCAATGGGGGCGTTACAGCATGGCCATGGCATTTTACTGACTTGCAACCCTGTACTTATGCCACTGTATTTTAGCAAAGCCATTAATAATGTCATGTCACGTCTATGTGTGAAATATATTTTACTTTTGTATCCACTCTTTAACAGCAGCAGTAGAGTTACACTATGGAATAAGATAGTAACCTAAATTATTATAATATTCGTCTGGTAGATTATTTGAAAACATTAGGTATGTATTTTGCCTTTTAAGTAAAAACGCGGGTTACTCACGTGAATATACTGAGAAAAGCTCTACTAGTTTCGAACCACAGAGGGGTTCTTCCTCATGAGCAGCGTGCGCGGTCGCGGCGACATCGCGCAGCTCACTGGTTATTATAAAATTATTATAAATAGCTTATTATAAAAACATATTTTGCCTTTCCTTACAAACTTAAGTAGTTTTGGCGATATATTGATTTGAAATATTGTGTGACGTCACGATTTAATACATTTTATAAGGTAGCCTGGCGTAATGACCTCCCACTTCTGATGTAAACTCCGTTTTATCTAAGTATTGTCTTTTTATACGACAAAATAAAAAATTTCTCATTATCTAACTGACATACTAATTACATTTTTAATTTTCATACACTGTTTACTATCCTATTGTCATATTCTAACGAGTAGTTTACTATGTATACTCTTACATGGCTCATGGCATAGTTTACGATATGTGGACCTTTTTTTCGATAACCAACATTTGATTGTGTTATCTGACTTTCCTATATCCTATTTCAAAACATATCCGCTATATTTGAAGCACAGCGCGTTATACATTGTTACCACACCATAACATACTTTTTCGTGAAGTGATAAGTGGAGATAACATTACGCCGCTTAATCACTGAAGGGTCCGATAGAGATAGGTGCACTAAATAAATGTCCATTCGCCAGTTAAAAGTCTCATGTTACAGAGGCTAGCTAGCCTATTGCCATACTCTAGACACTGTTCCAAAAACAAATACTACTGTTTATCTTATCTTATACTATTATATAAAGCGGAAGAGTTTGTTTTTTTGTTTGTTTGTTTGAACGCGCTAATCTCCGTAACTACAAATCTGATTTGAATAATTCTTTTTGTGTTGGATAGTGCATTTATCGAGGCTAAAGGCTATAAAACTTCACGTTACGACCAATAGGAGCTGAGCAGAGCGTGTGAAACCGCCCGGAAGTAGCTAGTAATGTTATATGCCGTCACACCATCGAATATTAGTTAACGAATTAAATAATTCCACAGTGGAGGTTCGCTACGTCAATATTAGATTAAGTACCCAAAATATATTTGGTACTTACATAAAAATGTCATCATGCAAAATTGTAATCTTCTGGGAAAAAAATCCGTACCTACCATACCTACCATATAAATCGGCCTTCTACTAGATATACGGACTAGTTTTTGATCATCTTTCCTATTTCGCACTGTTGGTGCGATGGCTGGGCAACCGGCTACCGCGCAACGTGTCGCGGGTTCGATTCCCACAGGGAACAACTCTTTGTGTGATCCACAAATTGTTATCATTACATCCTAGTTACATCCTAGCGTGGGGCAATGTTTAAAAAAAATGTGTCGATACGAATAGAGTGTATTTTGCAAATAAACATGCATGCGTTCCCTATTCATGCGACACGAGTTTACAAATTGTGCGTTAGGGCTGAGCCAACGTATTCAAAGTCTGTCATGTCGTGTTGTGTTTCATAACAATCGTTAATCGTAACAGAACGTAATTTCACGCCTGTGTCGCCACACGAGGTGTAAATATTTAAGTACTGTCTAAATGTTTTCCATTTATACTATTCATCGCGAACTTCCCATCAAAAATGTGAAGGAGGAAATCAAAGCCAAAGCAAAAAATCATAGGCAAAGATTAAAATAACCTTCAAACATACTTGCTTGGAGTTCGCAGACTAAAGTTACGAATACCACAGGACCTATACTGAACTATAAATTGTGAGAGTATGTCACTGGACATATATCTCCCATACCACTCACACAGACCACCAAAAGTAATGTTGAATGTCAGAAAGACAGATAAAGCATTAAGGAAAAATAAATACTATTCACACTATTATAGGCATATTATAATTACCTATATAAGTACATAAAAAGCGACCAGCGACCACATACCGAGAGCATTATCCTCTAGAATTTTAGGGGGACACTTTCTACCCTAACTGTAGAGGTTTTATTAAATACTTTTCAAAGCAATTTTGTTTAGCAGTGCACGTATTTCTACTGATACATGTTTTTTTTTAATTCAGGATGGTTCGTATCTAGCGGAGTTTTTAATAGAGAAAGGCTATGAGGTGCACGGCATCCTCCGGCGGTCGTCGTCGTTCAACACGGGCCGGATACAGCACCTGTACGGCAAGCCGGCGTGTCACACCGGCGGCCGCATGCATTTACACTACGGAGACCTCACCGACACTACTTGTCTCATCAGTATTATTACTAAAGTAAGTTATACACATTTTCTTATAATAATTATTGCGCTTGTAAACCGTCGTCCCCTCCACTAGATAACAATTGACGCGCAACACGATACGCTCATCAGGTTCTGCAACATTGCACAACGTCACGCAACGTCGCCGTCGTAGTGGTAGTTGTAGTCTTGTTGACAAACAACAATGTGCTGCAACATGCCGCACGTCAAATTTTGTCAAAGCTTTAGTGTTTTTCTCTATGAGAGGTGTCGGTACGGGCTCTGTTAGTTAGTGCTATTTTTGGTAGTTTAAGAAAAAATTCAGAAGCTCTCTCTTCTACATTTGAAATGAAAGGTCCTTTTCAATTTTAGTAAAATAATATAGTTAAGTATAGTTTTCAATTTCTAGTAACTTTACATGTAATAATGAGTAGTATCAGCCCTATATTAATAGAGATACATTTTACAGCAGAAAATGTTTTAGAACAATTTGAAACAAGGTCAAAACACAATAGGCTTTATTGCATGGTGATAAGTACTGTTGCATAACGCCTCCATGTACAAACAGAAGGCATACATATTCATTGTGCTGCTAAATTGGACTGCCTAGGACCCTAGGTAATTTAATAGCCATTACTGAACATGAAACATTTGTTGAATCCTTCTTGCGGTTCCTGGCATGGGGTTATTTCTAAGGATTGAGTAAATGTCAAAACGTCATGCAAATTCTGGGTTTTTATTAGTTTTAGAATTTTAGTAGATAATAATATGCGATTACGTACATTGAGCCTATCCGACTGTCTGTCTTCTGTCTGTATAGTGAATTGATTACGTGTTACGTGATGTAAGGTTTTATGTAACGTGCCTAAAATGATGTTATACGTTTTGGCTGACTGCCAAAATAAGGTCTATGCTTTTTACCCAGTATTTTTCACGGATGTCCTCAGAACATCTAGAAAGTATATCATTGTCAATCCAACGTTTCCAAGAAACAAGGCACTGTTATTAAGATGGTCTAGATAGCCCAGTTTACAATGTGCAGTAAAGATTAGTTTGTAATCGTTAAGTGCACTTCATGTTGACGATTGCGGTAAAACCTTGTACCGGTATCGTCATGAACCTAAATACTGAAAGCCGAAAGATAAAGAATAACTCTTCGGTTGAGCAAGTTTAACTACTAGACCTCGAATTGCATTCTTGGGTTCGGCAAATCATTATTGAGTTTTCCTTTTTCGATATTCTGACCAAGGTTAGATACCGAGATAAACATCTTCACTATCACTATTCTTTTGCCTCTGCTATACACAACCAAAGTGTATAATGAACTGTCCACAAGCAATATTTCACAAAGAATGAGATCTATCAATCTCAAACAAAATAAAATCGTACTGTGCAAAACGTATGCATAAAAGTTCGGAAACGCATTTGTCTCCTCTTGTGTACTTTGCCCTCCTTATCCTTTACAGAAATCTAGTTTTGGGGCATTCTTTTTAACAGTGTAGCCAAAAATTTCTTAAAGAACCGTTGAACACTTCTTATAACTTACAGATACGTCCAAGAGAGATTTATAATCTGGGAGCGCAGTCCCATGTCAAAGTATCGTTTGAGCTAAGTGAGTACACGGCACAAGTGGATGCCCTCGGCACTCTGAGGTTATTGGAGGCAGTGAGGGCGGCTGGCCTGGCGAAGGAGACCAGGATATACCAGGCATCTACCTCAGAATTGTATGGAAAGGTCATCGAAGTACCCCAAAATGAAAAGACTCCTTTCTATCCCAGATCACCTTATGGTAAGTTTTTTGCGCCTGTTTCTAAACTTGGGAGCAAGAAAACGAAGCCATGGTTTTTTCTTTTTATTTCTAGATAAGTATTTTCTGATATAGATAAATGGCAATTTAGTTTTTTAAAATGAGAGCATGTAAAAGTAATATTTTTTGTAAAGTTATAAACATAAAGGGTTGGATAAATGAAAAAAAAAAAACGTTAGATGACTCCGTTGCTTTGCTCCTAAATGTATATTCTTTATAACTGGTGAAATAATTGTGTGTTATATTGTACCTACATGTGCTCGTCAAGGATCTATATACGTGGCGTTATGTGATGTATTCAAAGTATCGAAGGTATATTACAGAAATCGTCAAATAGCAACAATACCAATTGGATAGTTTCCAGGGTATCAAAATTAAAAATCGAATTAGTTCGTCGGTTAGATAGTGATCAAACTCGTATTTTTTATTTTCTCGTATTAAGTTGCAATACTTAGATAAAATGGCGCTAAGTTTAGGAGTGGGAGGTCGTTACGTCATAACGTGCTACAAAATGTGGCACGCTGTGACGTCACACGATATTTCAAATGAATATATCGTCGAAAGTATTTAATTTTGTGAGAAAAGAAAAAAAACGTGTCTAAAGTTTTAAATTAATGTACCAGACGGACATTAAAATAAAATTTAGAAAACTACTCTATTAACGACCTAATTAACGAGTTCTATTATTTAACATGCGGTTCGAAAGTACTGATTATTTTATCAATTTTCCGCCTTACACCTACTAATTGGGTTTATAGTAATTTTATTAAGTGGTCAGATAAAAAGACGCGTACTTTTTGAATTATCAGTGAATCAGAACGATTATATTATTGAGTATAGGTACATAAGTTTACTGTTTAAGGATATTAACAAGGATAATAAAATTGATGTTATCAATTTTACTTTTAAATTATTTCGTAATTGATGCTATCGCATTATAATATTACCTATGTATGTCGGTGTTACGGCGATTCTAGTAAATCTTTTTGGCTGCAACTCTTTCTTTCCTAATTTTAATGTGTATTTGCATATCCGAGCATAGATTTATTTATCAGATTCTCAGCTGCCCCGCAAACTTCGTACCGTCTAAAAATTAATTTTAATTTATATAGATCTAATCCTATAGGATTGAAAAAGTTAATTTTACAATAGGGTCATTTCCTATTAGACCGTACGCATAGTCATAAAATAGGTGGCGTTGTATAATATGTTCTCACCTGCTTATTACTTCAAAGTGCACAATGTTCTGTAGGTACGGAGAATTGTACCCGGTGTAAACAACCGCGAGCTATGACAATGGACCAATTAACATTACTGGTGAAATTGGAACCACAAAGCAACAAGCTACTTCTATGTAGTCTTCAAGGAAACGCCGTATAAGTATAACGTCCATACAGAGTGTAAACGGCACTTTACCGGTAATGCAGACAATTTGTAAACATTTAACTATTTACATAAAACATGGTATACAAAAGTAGATCATCATGTTTTGCAGTTAATTAATAAATTCATTAATCAACAGCTTATATGAGCCCACTGCTGAGCAAAGCCTCTTCTCACATGGAGAAGGTTAGAACATTAATCACCACGCTTGCTCAATGCGGGTTGGCGATTTCAAACTTATAAGCCCAGGTTTCCTCACGATGTTTTCGTTCACCGTTGATCAGTGGTGTCTAAATAATCTTAGAAAGTACATAATTCTAACTCGGAAAAAGTCAGTTGATAGGTTTAGGACCCGCACCCACGTGCATGAGAAGCAGGCGTCTTCAACCTCTGGGCCACTACGACACTACGCTTAATACCTCTAAATAAAGCATGCAAATTTTAACTTACTTATACTCGTAGTTGTAGGTTCTATATTATTACAATTTTAATCGATTTTGTTTTCGTATTATCCATCACCAACCTTGAGCAGTTGATTACGACTATTGTTACATAAAAATAACTATTTAATACCTGTTTAGTTCTAAAAATAAAACTCGTTTTGTCTATCTCCTGTCTGCGTTCCGCTTACAACCTGTATCTTTAATAATATCAATACATAGTATAAAACAAAGTCGCTTTCGCTGTATGTCCGTATGTATGCTTAGATCTTTAAAACTACGCAACGGATTTTGATGCGGTTTTTTTTAATAGATAGAGTGATTCTTAAGGAAGGTTTGTATGTATATACATATTGCACCCGTGCGAAGCCGGGGCGGGTCGCTAGTTAATAATATAATACAATATAATAAATAAGTTCTACACGAAATTATTCAATAAAACCTTAATGGATACCTAATTTACAATTTTGTGGCCATTAAGTTGTATCATAATATGATATGAGCTTATGGCACCGACTTCTAATCTATCAGTGGGTGGGTAACCTATCAGTAATAATAATAGTTATTTTGTCATTTTAGTTTTGACTTTTTGTTTGTTATTAGTTTGTGGTTTTTTGAAGTCGTTATTTTACACGCAGTTTTTGTTTTTGAAAGTTCCCATCGGTTTCCCTAGGATTCCATCATCAGATCCTGACGTCATGGAAATGGGACCATCTCGGGAGTATACCCTTTCAAACAAAACAAAAAAGAATTTTGGAAATCGGTTCCCAAATAGAGGAGTAATGCGCGAACAAAAAAAAAAAAACAATCAGCCGAACATAGATAGTACCTCCTCCTTTTTTTGAAGTCGGTAAAAAAATTAATGTTAATTTAACTATCCTCAAGTTTTTAAGAGACTTGAGTTAACTGTTGGTGTACTTGCAATACCTGGCATGCTCCGTCAATTTATATGAGATTTTTCCTGTGGGGAAAACTCTCTTTGACTAACCTCTTTCTGAAAAATAAACTTTATTATAATGAAAGAACCTTTCAAATCGGTCCAGCAGTTTTGTAGCCTATTTAATGCAAATAAACCAATATAAATACCTCGTCTTATAAAAATCTCCATTTCTTTTAGCATGTGCAAAGCTCTACGGTTACTGGATAGTGGTGAACTACAGGGAAGCGTACGGCATGTTCGCATGCAATGGCCTTCTCTTCAACCACGAAAGTCCAAGGAGAGGTGAAAACTTCGTGACGAGGAAAATCACGCGAGGGGTCGCCAAGATCACACTGGGGCTGATGGAGTATTTAGAACTAGGTAACCTGGACAGCAAGAGAGATTGGGGACACGCCAAGGATTATATTGAGGTAGGTCTATTAACCTCTTATGGTCATATGAATCTCAATTAAAAACAAATTGTGTCTGACGTAGGTATATCTACGTTCCGCGTATACCATGTGTTAAATATTGATCCAAACAAGATTTATTAATATCTGCAATGATGTTATAAGTAAAAACGTGTAGATAGGTTACCTGAACAACAGTCGATCTTCAAACAAGCACACATGCATACGTTGACAGCGCGACTCTGAGATAAAATGTGGCCAAAAGTTACAATACCTAGATAAAATGGCCGTTAAGTTTAGGAGTTCTAAACAAAATTATTCATTAAAACCTTAATTGATACCTAATATTAAGCTGTTGACAATTCTGTGACTATTAAGTTATATCATTTTGATACGAGGTATAAGCTGGTATCTCATATCAAAATATGCATCGACTTCTAACCTATCAGTGGAGAACCTTTCAGTACTAATAATAGTAGTTTTTTACTTTTTAGTATTACGGCGGAATTATACGTAAAACAAAAAAAAATCGAGCATAGTACCTCCTCCTTTTTTTGAAGTCGGTTCAAATAGCACTCTCACTGGTTTCCCAGGCCATGTGGCTGATGCTCCAGCAGCAGGAGCCGGAGGACTTCGTGGTGGCGACGGGCGAGGCGCACAGCGTCCGCGAGTTCGTGGAGCGAGCCTTCCGCTGCGTCGGCCGCCGCCTGCTCTGGAGGGGCGTCGGCGACCAGGAGACTGGACACGACGCGGACACGGACCAACTACTAGTCAAGATCAACCCCAAGTACTTCAGGCCTACTGAAGTGGTGAGTTATTATGGATATTATATATTTTTTAACATTGCCCCACACAAGGGGTTTCTTTCTCCTGAGTCCTGGGTGCGTTTACAAACATACAAGTTCACATGTCACCCAGAAAGCATGCGGGAATCGAACGCGCTACACGTTGCACGGCAGCCAGTTACTATTATAATAAATGAACAATATAAAAATGATTGGTTTTCCGATCGAACTGAAGGAATTAAGTTTTTAAAACTGACTGCGATAAGTCTAATAAATACTATTTAGAGAGTGCCTTAAGGCATTAAGTCCGCCATTTACTTTTATCTTTGGTGAAGAAGAAATAAATAAATAAATATTGTAAATGAAATAAATAAATAATACCTACAATTAGCTTTCTTACGAGACTTAAATCAAATAATTGTGTAAAACCGTAAAATTTAAAAATAATATTTAGGTGAAAACCATAAACAGAATAGTTAAAAAATACTTAGATTTTTGGGTGATCCGAAAATTATGTTTTCCATTCCAATAAAAAGTAAGCAATAGTTACTATAATTACATACAATCACTATTACTACAATAATAATACTTAGTTCCAAAAAACGATTTGACTTTGACAATACTAGATATTTTATTTCAAACTGTAATAGTATTATGTATGTGATAAAAACAACTGGGTAAAGTATTTGAATTAACCGATAAATAGTTGTCGGTATTAGCGGCTGATAAACATTGTAATGATTAAAAGCACTCGGAAATTGTATAGGACAATGCACCCACTTTAGCTACTTGGATTATGAACGTCGTTGGTTGACAATACGTTCATTCTGTGTAACGAACCTACAGCTGATAAAATGTGGGAATTAGAATAAAGGACAAACAAGCAGAGAAGTCACCAGGTGGTAACAATCAGCACCGGCCACCGACACCCGCAACACCAAGGTACTCATTAGAGTTAAGTGTTAGAGAGCCATGCTACGGCAAGAATGGGCCGGCTCGACCGAAGTGATACCACGGCCGAGCAGAAGACCGACGTGAAACAACGCAAGCGTTGTTTTTCGTCGTGTGAGTTAGGTTACCGGAGGCCCAATTACCCCTCCTCCTATTTCCCAATTCCCGAATCCCCAACAATCCTCAAATTCCTAATCCCAAAAGGCCGGTAACGCACTTGTAACCCCTCTGGTGTTCGCGTCCATGGGCAACGCCGATACCATCAGGTGATCCGTCTGCTTGTTTACCGGTTTATCCCATAAAAAAAATAACCTAAACCTACTTTACTCTATCTATATTTAGCCCAATACCTATGAGAATGTTTGTAAGCACTAGAAATGCCCAACAATTCACAAACTCCTAATCCCCACAAGGCCGGCAAATCACTTGTAACGCCTCTAGTATTCCAGGGCGACGCCGATTGCTTATCATCAGGTGATCCGTCTGCTCGTTTACCAGGTTATCCTATAAAAACCCATATTGTTGTATTAAAGGTAATTAATGATCAATGAATTTCCTTCCAGGACCTGCTTTTGGGTGACCCATCGAAAGCCAAAGAGAAGTTAGGCTGGACACCCCGAGTGAGCTTCGACCAGCTAGTTAAAGATATGGTGGAAGCCGACCTCGACCTCATGAAGAGAAACCCAGAGGCGTAGGTCATAACTGTCCTATATAACGCTATACAAAAATGAATTTTACTGGTATAAGAATAAGGTAAAAAGTTGTATATGATACCGATATAGTCAAGTGTACTAAAGGTCTATTTTGTCCTGAAGACTGCGAAATTTTCATTCTAAACATAGACATACAATTACGTGTTTCTTGAAAAATCTAGTATTTTGCCCTTCTAAGGCTTTATCTTGTCGAGTACCGTCATTATAGACACAATTATAGAACAATAGGTTGCGGTCACCGGTGTCCGCTTGGTGTTTGACAGTTTAATTCGGAATTGAAGATGGATTTTTGACTTGTCTTGATAACGTCTTGTTATCCAGACGTTCATTTGGTAAAGAAAAGTACTGAATGCATATGTAAGGTATAATAGGCTCGCTCCCATTACGTAAGACTTAATATAAATGGCGAAACGAGGGTGTTACGTAATATGTGACTGGCTCGTTGGCCGAGTGGTCGCAAGTACGCCTGCCGGGCTAAGGGTCTCAGGTTCGATTCCCGGGTCGACAAAAGTATTACTGAGTTTAAAAAAAATTCTCGGTAGTAGCACGAAGTCTAGAATTTTGCCCGGTATATGGCAATAGGCGAACCCCATATTAAATGGGACTCATAACATAAATAGTTAAAAGTGGGTGTTACATTGTACAGTGGCTTAAGTGCCATACTTACTCTGCCTACCTCTTCCGGAATAAAAGGCGTGATGTTATGTTATGTTACATAACATGTACAACTCTGTCTACCTCTATATTATATACTTATATCACAATTTGTATTACTCGATTAAATTCGGTGTACATTATTTATCTGTATAAAAATCCCAAAGTTATCACACAGGAAATGTGTATATATATATGTATGCAAACTAGTTAAATGTATGAAAAAAAAACATTCAGCTACTAGTACCAAAACTATACAGAGTATAAATGGAACGCTCCCAAAAAACGCCGACAGGTTATGGAGAAAAAATAAGTTTTATTTTCGTAAAAATATGTAATAATAATGACTGCACGGTTGGCGCGACGTGTTTGCGATTCCCGCACGGAACAACTCTTTGTGTGATCCACAGATTGTTGTGCCGGGTCTGGGTGTCATGTGTATGTGAAATTATAAATGCAGCCACGATACAGGAGAAATTACTAGTGTGGGGCAACGTTTAAAAAAAATAGTTATAATCAACTGCTCAAAGCCGATGTTGCATGAATAATACGAAAACAAAATAATAATAATAATAAACATTTATTTCAGAATAAATTCCATATGCGACAGACAGACAGACAGACAGACAGACTATTGTTGTAGCTATTCAAAAGCGATTCATATTGTAAAAAAAAATTTGTCAGCGTTTCGTGAGCGTTCCATTAACACTCTATATAGTAAATGCAAAATGAAACGAAAATGCCCATTAATTAGTTAGATACTTTAAATAATCTATTGAATTGTATAAAAGTCAGTACAAGCGCAACTTCTTTCTCTTTCAGACGCGTAAGTAATTTCGAATTATCTATCAACCATTATCCCTACTAACTACAATAAACTACAATAACTACACTTGAGAATGAACTAACGGAGCTACTAATTCTTTTTTTCTTTTTCACTTTTTGATAAACATATTCTAATACAAGTATTTTATTAATTGGTAATGTATGTCGTATAAATGGCAATTTAGTTACCTTTAAAATGAGAGCATTTTGTTGTAAAAGGAATATTTTTGTAAAGAAGGTGAAAGAAAAAAGGGTCGATGATATGAAAAAATGCAAATGGCTCCGTTTCTTTGCTCCGGAGTGTATAATCATAACTAATCATACATACGGTGGATAACAACTAGTCAAATTAAATACTTTTATCGAAACGTCAAAAACGATATTGTTCTATGAATTTTGTACGAAATACGTATGACGTCACCATTTTCGCACCAAATAGCACACTTATATCTGAAAAAAAAATGGTAGAATAAATAAAAAATTAAATATATCGTCAAATCAATGAATGGAAGTGTAACTATTTTTCAATATGTAATTGGACTGAAAAACCAAATTAAATTATCTTTGATCCAGGAAACTACCCAATTATAAAAAACTAACATCTGCCCGCGACTTCGTACGCACAATCCCGTTTTCTCCCGTTCCCGTAGGATTTTCAGGATTCTCCTAATAATAACAAATACAGCAAAGAAATCGGTCCAGTCATTCGCGAATGATGCCGTGACCAAGGGAAAAAGGATTCATTTTATACATATATAGATAGATAGGTCATAATATTATGTCTGTACAGAAACTGTATCCAATAGGGTAGTAGATAGTGTATGGAAATTAAAAAAGTAATGAGTTCGTCTGTTAGATAATGAAAGAATATTAGACGCGTATTTTTTTATTTTATCGTATAACACTACTTAGATATAACAAACAATAGGTACTGTGTACTGTCGTATAACAAACAACACTTACATAAAAAGGAGTTAAATTAGGAGTGGGAGGACGTTACGTCACGCCACCCTATAAAATATAGTAAATCATGGTATAGGACCTATATCTATTAACATAGATGGTGCGGGAGATACATTTTTATTAAATTTCGTGCTCTGTAGTGCAAGTTGCTGTGTTCTTGCGGTCCGCACAAAATGGGTTGGCGGTCCGGATGCGGACCGCGGTCCGCCATTTGGTGACCCCTGTTATAGGTATTAGAATCGTAATAGTAGAATTTCAAATCGTCGAAAGTATTTAATTTTGTAAGAAAAGAAAAATACGTGTCTAATGTTTTAAAAATATCTACCAGACGGACATTAAAATAAAATTTAGGATACTACCCTATTTGGCGCAGCCAATCCAAAGTTAATATATTTTCGTTTTACAATACATAATTTTCGGTCACCTGAGAGAATAAACAAGTTAAAACGCACAAACATTTAAAAAAGAAAAAATGCAGTTAAATTTAGAACTTCTTAAATTTTTTGAATTTCTTTCACCAACCATACTTCTTACACATGAATTTTCGATATATTTTCTGAAGTTTCAACAGTTCTATTTCCTCTTCTATAAAATGCGTATGTGTAAGTAGTGCAATTTTATATTATAACATATAGTATTTGTATATTCATAGGATAAGCAATGTGTGAATTATAATGTTACTCATAGATTTTAGAAGGTGAATCTACCTATAAGTAACGATATGATTTCCAACTTTTATGCAGTTTTAAAGGTGTTTTCACACTCCTGTGTATAAATATTTGCAAACGTTGATAAACATTTCATTTTACTAACAAACCAACCAGCCTTTGGCATTCCAATGCTGAACGATGAAGCTCTCATAAGAATGGTTTGTCTCTCTAATCTCTACATTTGGCAGACGGGTTGGAGGTAATAGTGTTAGGGTGTTTTTCCACCAGAGATTTGCTATGTAAACTGAAAAATGTGAAACTATGTGACCGTTACCACTGATATTAAGCTATGTAGCGATATAACATATGCTATGAAGATGCTGCAAAGAAGCTCTGTCAGGAACTCGCGCAGCTCGAGCTATGCGATGTATCGATAGTGTAGAAACGGCGAGGGCGGCACGAATCCATAGCTCGCGTCTTTCCACATAAAAAAGCATATCTTAGTTGAAGTTGAATCCGTTTCCACCAGTGCTATATGTACCAATCGATATGATTAGTGGATGCCAAACGCATTGACCATTATAGCATAGCATATCGCTGGTGGAACAGCACCCTAAAAGATTTATATTTCCTAGAGATTCAGTTTTAAAGAGCATTGGTGTGGAAACATCGCAAGTATCGTAAGATTTATGATTAATGTTAAATGCCTTAACAAATGCGTAAATGTGTGCATTGTTCGCACCATCGTAATGTTTTTATTGCATACGCCATAACATTTTCCATCACAATGTATGTAGTGTTAATTATAGTCGTTGTAACCAATTAATTATTATTGTTAAGTGTGTTTCGTTTATAATTTTGTGTAATTTTTATGAATACTGAAATGCTACTTATAATTTTAAGTTTTTTAGGGTTTATTAAGAGTAAGGATGTTTGTATTGAGACCGTTATTATTGATTTATGTCGCGTGGTCAGGAAAATAGTAGCCTACCTATATCACTTTTCAACCTCCTATCTCCAGACACAAAGATATACTATAAAAATACATGCTCGTAAAAGATGTATCAACAAACTAACTAATGCGTCTGCGATAAGACGTAAATCGCACCGCGCTGGCGTGGGTACCTACAGCGTAAGACATTTCCGCATTTACAACAATAGGAAGGATTGGTCCATCCATGTCCTAAATTAATCACAAAAATTGACAAATCAAAGAGGGTTATTGAAGGTGGAGTAGTAGCGTTTTCATTAATAAAACTGTATACTATACTTTTTGTTTGTTTAAGAAATTATTATTCGTTAAGAAAATTATTTGTTCCGAAGTGTTTAATGTTATAGTTCAGTGCGAACAGAATTATTGTCTAATTAAGCCTACTGGCATGCTTTTAGTGTTAGTTTCCAGTGAGATCGGTTATATATTTTGTTCCTGTTTTTATTTAGATATATTTGTATAGAATTATTAAGATTGAAAATCATGTAATGATAAAATAAAGTATGATTGCAGCTTTGTATTTACTTGCAACATGTTGATACAGAAATGTTGCTAATTTAGTGTCTCACACTTGGTTTCGCTCGCAACTTGTTCAGCAACGCAAAGAAACTTCTTTGACGCACGGCTTGTCTGCACTCGAGAACATTTGATGATCAGCTCAGAGGTGCTAGCGACCGCTCCATGGCGAGCGCTAACAAACGCGTTTGCCCGTGAAAAGTGGTATTTGGCTAGCCTATCTAAGGAAAATAATCTACTAGCATAGCGATCCGTTTTGTAGATTAAACTAAACATGCATTTAGCTACCAATCTTAGTCAAACTCTGTCAGTTTTCCTTATGTCATCCCCTTACATTGAGTTTTCTACTCTCTATGTAGACACGCTTGCACCGCAGGGATGTTACATTCAAACAAATTACTCGCCGCGCGTCATGTTGCACATTAACAAGAAATATTGCACAACGCATACGTGTTGCGCATCAATTAGTCTTTAGTCTTTATTACAAGACGAACGAATTGCATGTCAATGCAAAATAGTCTCGTGTGCCTTACCGTGCTTACCTAGTAATATCTGTACTTTAGAATACTTAACAGTTGCGATCTAGATCATAAACTATGACGTATTTAACTTAACATTACCATGCTCTGAATACGACGACGCGGCCGGCGCCGGCGCCCCGCGTGCTGTGCAATTGTTGCCTAGTGAATACGAAGCTTAATCATACTCTAATACGTGCAATTTTTATTTAAATGAATGAATATATACAGAATTTATGCATGCATGGGTACTTTGCGGTGTACCTACATGGAATTAGTTTTTATTTGTAAATGTATGTAGCAGCTGATTGTGACAGTGACATTCCAAGCGTACATTCATGTACAAAGAGTTCAAAGTATTGTTGCATTATGTCATACGAAAATATTTTTGCCAGTATTTTGTTTTTAATTTAAATATAATTTCAGTGATAATTTCGTGTTTTTATTTACCTACTTTCTATTGAATTTTATTATTTAATAGAAAACTTTGATTTATTGTCACATTTCCACTGTACCAAGTACACAATAATCTACATAGATTATAGTTCAGTCATTTGGTAGTTCCACCTGCAATGTTTTTCGGGAGTTTTTTAAATTGGCAATTTTGTAGAATTTCATAACTCCCGGTAATATTTCCAGACAACCACCATATTTCCTCCTGAATGATCGAACTATTAGAACTATTAATGCCAGGAAACCCTTAAATGCTAATTTAATACAAACACATTTTTAGAAACAAGTTTTTATTTAAAAGCGCTAAAAAAGAATTGAATAAACATCTCATAATGGTCAATAAATTACATTCAATGTAAAAGCTACAGTAAACTTGTACAAATTGGTTAAGTACACTTATGAATTATTATCAATCCTTTGGAATTAACAAACGTCACTCTTGGACGCTCAAAATAGTACAGCAATTGAAAATGTTCTTAGTTAGGCTCTGGCGTCCCATTTCGCGCCAGAGGTTCCATTTACAGGCGTGGAAGACGATTTCTTTCCAAGTTTCCATCCTTTCTAGGAGATCGATGTGGCATCTATAAAATAATTAAAAACCTTTATCAAACACCGGATTATCAATTAAACAATTTGTCAATCAGCGCGTTTTTACTCTTGTTACGGTAGGTGTTACAATAAGGGATGATGAAAAAATCCGTTACTTTTTTTAACACACGAACATTCTAATTTAATTTAGGCAGTGAATGGGTTAAAAATAATCTTGGTAACACTTAAAATGACATAGGAAGATAGATGCCTACGCACATATCAAACTACATATACAAAACCAGTTTATCATAGTCTCGCTTCGTTTTTTTTTATGGGATAACTTGGTAAACGAGCAGACGGATCATCTGATGGTAAGCGATCGCCGGCGCCCATGGACACCTGGACCACTAGAGGCGTTACAAGTGCGTTACCGGCCTTTTGGGGATTAGAAGTTTGAGGATTGTCAGGCACTCAGGGATTGGGGGGAGGGAATTGGGTCTCCGGTAACCTCACTCACACGACGAAACAACGCAAGTGTTGCTTCACGTCAGTTTTCTGTTCGGCTGTAGTATCACTTCGGTCGAGCCGGCCCATTCGGGGCGAAGCATGGCTCTGTCACACTTTGATTTCGTATGATCTTTCGGCACGTTCAACGGTCAGTTTATACTGGTTATTAAGTTTGATGTGTAGGCGTGTGATCAAGTAAATAATTATTGCTTACCCAGTTTCTTTAACGTTTTCTGAGTATGTTCCTGTTGCTGGTAGTGGACGGTTTATGTGACCTTGTGCGCTTGGCGCTTGGCGCATCGCTGCTTCGCAGAGACCTCTTCAAACTGCGCGGCGACTTCGCGCTGGACGCCGTGATTTGCTTTCGAGAGCTGTTCTTCAGTACAGACTTCGAGGCTTTCACGGTACTTTCCTCATTTTTTTCAGGCTGTTTCCTTTCTCTTTTAATAAGCTGTGCTTTAGGTGAACTTGACTTTTTTCTGGAGTGCGTCTGTTGTGGTTTATTTTGTGCGATCACAGTCTTTTGTAGTCTTCTTCGTGTGATTATAGTCTTTTGTGGTTTACTCCGTTCGACTACAGCTTTTTGTGGTTTATTTTGCGTAATTAGAGCTTTTTGTGGTCCACTTTGTGTAGTTTCAGTTTTTTCTTGCCTACTGCATGTGGTGACAGACTTTAGTAATTGGCTCTGCGTGATAACAATGTTTTGTGGTTTCCTCCTTGTGAATATTTGTGTTTTGGATTCTCGTGTCCTTCTCGGTCTGGCTGTAGTGCTAGTTGATTTTGAAACATCTATCTGTGATTCTTGTGGTATACTTCGTCTGACCGTAGTCTTTGGTAGTCTATTTGGAGTGTCTATCATCTCAGAAGATTTTGATACCTTTTTTCGTGGATCTTGCGACCTACTCCGTGTGGTTCCAGAGTTAAATAAACTTGGTATTTGTTTCGGAAATTCTGGTGGTCCAACGTGTGTGTTGGTTTCAGATAGTTTGGATACTTGTTTAGGGGACTCTTTAAGTGTACTTCGTGTCACCACAGATTTGGATAATGCTGATACTTGTTTCTGATTTTCTTCTGGATTACAACGTGTGATGACAATCTTAGGATATTTTAATTCATGTTTTAGAGGCTCCAAAACAGACAATGATACTTGCTTCGCTGATTCTTGTGTTGTACTCGGTGTGATTAAGGACTTGTTGGCTCTATTTCGTATAACTACAGCGTCTGTTGCGTTTGATACTGGTTGTTTCGGATACTTTCGTGGTCGTCTGAGTTCAACTTGATAATTTGATACTTTTGTCAGAGACGTGATACGAGATTTACTTCGCGTAATTTGGGTTGCAGTCGGTTTAGATACTTGTTTTGGAGGCTCTAGTGGTGTATTCAATGTGGCTGCAGAATCGAATGAAGTTGGTTTCGAAATATTTGGTGGTCTAATTTGTGTGATTACGGTTTCAGATGGTTTTGATACTTGTTTCGGGGTCTCTTTTAACCTACTCCGTGTGACTACGGAACGAAATAATGTTGAAACTTCTTGCTGAGAATCGTTTGGTATACTTTGTCTCTGTTTAGTCTTCCGTGGTCCTTTCCTTTTGGTTAAAGAATCAGATGAGGTTGAAACTCGCGTCGGAGGTTCTTGTAGATTACTCTGTGTAGTTTCAGATAATTTTAATACTTCTTCCAAAGCCTCCTGAGGGATTCTTAGTTTCCCTACAAGTTCTGGTGACTTTGAGCTTTCTTTCTCCGGAGTTTTGTAAAAACAGCGGTTTTTATCAATTGAAGAATTTATTTCCTGCTGAAGCCTTGTACAAGCAAGTTCAAAAGGTTTATGTTCAATTGTTTTATTGTTGGATGTCGTTATTCTATTAATAATTGTGGTGGCTAATGCAGAAGTAGCTTCCATTTCAATCTTATTTTGTTGTTTCTGTTTATCCGAATCATCACGTTTTCCGTCGGACATTTTTGTTCCTGAAATTGTTGTTGAAACTTCTTTGGTTTTATTGTTCCTGTTGTCTATTTTATTTTCGTTAGTCATTTTTAAATCACCTTTAAACTCGTTATATACTCTAAGACGTTTTATGTTTTCAGTGACGATGTCTGCATCAATCTGAGCCTCCTGCTCTGTTAAATATGTTGGTTTTAAAATTATTGCGGTAACATTCTCAAGAAATGGTTTTCGATATCGCGTTGAAACCCTTGATGGTAATGTATTGAGATCAACTGTTACTGTTGGTTTTGGCTTTGATTTCTTCTTACGAAATACAAATGGGTTAAACTCTTCAGTATCAGAAGTGTTTTCTTGTTCAGTTTCACTTAATTGGTCTTCAGTGATTACTTCCTTTTCAAACGACATAACACTCGTTTCTATCTCAGGGGAATCTGGTAAATCACTGTCAGAAAAATCTAATGCTGCTACTTTGCCTTCATCAGACAAATCATACTCTGTATCGATGTTTGTACTTTCATCTGATTTATGGTTAATGTCCTGACCATTGTCATTATCAACTGGCTTCATTTTACTTAAAATATCTGCAGTATTTTTATTTGTAACTTCGTTGCCTTCTTTCAGATCTTTTGCATTAGATACGTCTAGTGAGGTGTTCATATTATTAGTACTATTATTGGCTATGTCGATTGAATTTGATCTAAAAGCGCTTCTATGATCGTTTATTTGTGATGGCTGACAAGAAATAGGAACTTCTTTTGCACTACTTACATCAGCGTGCAACTCTTTGCTTGATGCTTCGTTGTTTTTATCAGTGTGGTCAATTATTCGTGCAGGGATGACATTTTTAGCTTTGTGGGGATCTGCATTTTTGTCATCTCTATTTTCAGGTTTATTTTTTAAATTGGAAGTTGTTTCTTTGGTTCCAGACATTTTTTCTTTTAACTCTTTGGATGTTCTTTACCAGTAAATTAATATTATGCACTAGATAAGAGTTTGATTCATTGAATTGTTTCATAATTTATGATTTCAGCTCTGCTATCTTAAGAACGTTAACTTTATTGGCTGAAAAATACAAAATTTTTATTATCACTTAGGTTTAACATATGAAGTAGACAAATAAACAATCTTAACCAACATCATGCCTTTTATTTTTGCTCTTATAGCCACCAATAAAATCCTATTCAATAGAAAAAAAAATAGTAACTTATAAAGTGTATAATGAAGTTAATAATGTTTACTAACGGCCGTTCCCAATATTCTATCTATCCGTTGTTTTGCCCTACTGGAGATAGAAAAATCTATCTATCTTTAAATTTGCCGTCTCAATAAACTTACTGGCGATAGGCAAACTAATCTATGGTTGTCATTACCTGAAGGACGCATAGGTTATCTACAGATTGCTTTTACTATGAAATTGACAGTTCATGCGTCCCATTAATAACAAAGGTGCTATCTGTCAGTGACTTTGGTTATCCCTAGTAGGCTTTAGCTCTATCGCAGGATTTTGAGGGATAGGAGTATAGTTATCAGTGAAGATCAGTATATATATCTTTTCTATTTCTTAAAAATACACCAGATTTAAACAAAAAATCATTTCGGACTCCAGTTCAAGTAGTAGATCAAGTGCTATTGATATTTTGAAACAAATAAGGAACTGGGAATCTGACGAGGACGATGTGGTTACCACAACACGACCATATCAAGAGCGTGTTAATTACATGTACAGATATGACGATTACGAGTTTGTGTATAGATTTAGGCTAAGAAGACTAAATTAGAGAATTTTATACTTGTCCGTTATTCATACCTACATCTTTATTTTAATTAAGTGTTCCAGTGGACGAGAAATGAGATAAACATTGAATGTGCAAAATGCACAGTGTAATAAAAAGATGGTTTAGAATAAACTGTTTTATTTTATTTAATTATATGAATTATTATTGGGTTGTTTCTCCTTCTCCAGTATATCTAGCTAGAGTTTCCGTTTCTTTAATGCATGTATTTCTTTTCGATCTGTTATTGACTCATATCATCTGCATCAGCTCGTCTTTTCTGTTTTCCTAGAAAAATATTATTTATAATTATAATATTATTTATAGTGTATTATTCCATTTTGCTCCTCACCATATAAAAGTTTTATAACTAAACAGTATTGAAAAGTAAATAGTCATAACCAATACCAAACCCCAAAAATGAAATATACAAGAAACTATCTGTGATACCTAATCCTCCAAGTCGCATCCTTGAGCTGGTTATTGCTGGCATTTGTGACTTTGCTGAACATCAATGGATTTGCCTCCACCAATTGTACCAGCTGCATTACTTCTTCTTTCGTCAATAGCATATTCTTTTGCTACAATGAGTGCACCAAACACGAGTTATTAGTCACATGTATGTTCATGCAAACAACAAAAAATATTCAACAATCCAAGTATAAAAGTTCAGTGAAAGCCATAGAACTAAACTTCAATAGCTTCAATCTAAAGCTAGAAAAGCACAAACTGTAATACTTACTGAGCTCATTTATTATAACAAACAATTCTTTGTTATATTATCATAATTTATTGTAAACAAAATCAACAAACAACAATGTCAAATGTCAATGTTTTAACAAACACGTTCCGTTACAAGTCGCGCACTCATCCAGTCGCAAACATGAAGTTTTCGTTATATTTAACTTAAAAAAATATTGTTTACTATAAAATTTGTGCAAAATATAAGGTTTCGTTAATTAATTCAAAATGTTTGTGATATAAACATGACAAGATGCTTTGAAAACATTATTGTAACTTAGTGGCACTCTGTGGGGCTCTGCATACAATGAAACACATGGGAGGGCTCAGATAGGCACCCTATCTACTGATATCTAGAGATAGCAAAGACACATTTTAGTTATTGGGACGACATCGAAAGATAGATAGCTTTTAACTGACTATCGAGGATAGCTATATATCTTTACCTATGGATTGAATATTGGGAACGGCCGTAAGTAATCAACCCTATGTACAGAGTACGTGGTAACTATAATCTACCTAACTAGGTACATTAAATGACATGGTAAGCATATTATGTTTAAGGTAAAGCAAGTAGTAAAAGGCATGGTGTTAAGATTGAAATGTAGGAATATCAACACCTGCGCGCGCAACTATTTTGTGCAGAAAAAGTGGCCATATTTTGATTGAAATTTAATAAAATGACAGATGGACTACATATTTCAAGAAGTTAATTTTTAAATGCGTAAGTAATGCTAGAATACGGTCTAATGTCTACCTAATGAGACTTTAACGGTTATGAGAGTGACTGGCAGTATAAATTTTCCCATATTTCGTGGAAACCCCAAAAACAGTTCAATGGTTTTTTTTTTAATATTGATATTATTGACAGTCATCCAAAGTGACCTGAAGTTATTATTTTAAAGGTCAATTAGTAAATTAATTAAATATTTCAAACTTCATAAATTCTAGTTCTCGAATGAGCAACCATTTATATATAGACTGATAAGTAGATACGCCAGAAATACCGAAATATATAACTCGAACCAACAACAGGAAAAAAGATAAATACAATAAGTAGGTAGGTACTTACGTTCGTATAGATAGCTGGATTAAAGCCATGAGGATAAAACATCACTTATTAATATTATTCTGGGAGTCGAACACGTGTATACAGAATGTTGTTTTGACAGATACTAAAAATACATAACTATATTATGACTATGTTAAGCTCTACGAAATAATTGCGATGCTAGATCGGAACGTCAAAACTGTTCAAATGTAGTCATCCATTGAATTAGTTATCATACAAATATGACTTTCGAACTTAGTTTGATTATACTATTTTTATTCCTACATATTTATGCATATATTCACTGCTATAAATATTAATATATTATTTGAATTTTACACTATAGCAGAGTGAGGGAGACGGCAAGATATTGGCGGGAAACAAGGTCATTCATGAGTCATCACTCACACACGCTTCGCGGTATTCTCCAATCACAATGTGGTACGTACCACGAATAATAATGAATGGATGGACGCTTTTTATGCGTATATCTTCAGATCAACTTCACCGAATCGGATAACTTTTTTCTAAAATTAATGTTCACATTACAGTATCAACGCGAAACTAAAGGAGCAGTACGAAATATAAATTTATCAAGTATCTTATAGTATTGAACTGATAAGAAACGATAACAACGGTTGCGTCATGTTTTGCAGAATAAGTACGTGATTACAATGTATGTATGAATAAGGGATGGGACCAACTCTTAACAGTAGCAGCGAGACAGTAGCCGCGTCGCGGATCGCGAAATGCTGCTCATGAATATGAGCCCCTAGCATGGCTTAAAACTAGTCGAGTCAAATTATTACGTTAGTAAGCCGAAAACATAATAATTTAATAATTCTTAACAATCCATAACCTGCTTGCATAGGTATATCGAACATAATAGGCAATAAATATAACATGTTATTATAAGGTCAGACTGGGAGAAAATGCCTGCGGCATTAAGTTTAAGACCACCTTATACTACCTCTACACTTTGTGCATGAAGCTTAAATAAATAAATATATTATCTAGTTATGAGTTAAATTACTGCGCCCTAACAGAGTAATGTACTGTAGGTACTAGTTGTATGTAATACTTCTTATTATATATTCATTGCGCAATATGAATAAATAAATAAATAAACAATGCAAGTCTTCTTTTCAGAAAACAAACGAAGTTATGAGTTAGGTTTGTATGTATACGTGATTGGGATCAAATCATCGCATCGTATGAAATGAAAAGACATAAGTAATTCAAAAATCTTTAGTCAGCGTAATATATTTTTAGAAAAGGCACCATGTTGTCAGTATAATTCAATTTCTACAATATTTCTTAAAATTTTTATTAAAGCTTTGAGGTACTTTGTTAATAGCTAATATCCGCTTAAAGCGTCAGTTATGGCTTTATCACCGGAGCACGTACCGCAATTATCTTTAAGTACGTACACTGCTACGGGTGATCTTGACTAGGTTCTTCAGAAAACAGTTTATTAGTCACAACCACACATATGACATTTAACGCTTACACTCTATAAAGTAGGTAACTCACCACAGATGTGAATCGGCCTCCAAGATTTGCTGGTTCTCTTGGGCTTTTTGCGTATAATAATACCATCGTTGGATCGGACATCGGCATCCTCGTCATCAGCTCTTAACTCTGAACTTGACAACTTGATATCTTTTGCTTTAGTAGCAGTTATAGTAGTGTATGTTCTTTTCTTTTCACTTCTATACTGGTCATATGTCAAGGTATTTAAGTTCACGACTTATTTAGAAGTTATTTTCTAAATTCTATATGGCCCAGGTGATAATAACCACCATTGTCATTTGTCGTTGTCTGCTCTACATAGAATCACTGTACAGGACTATGTGGGTCAACGCGTGGTGATAATATTAAGTCCCCTTGCCTAAAGTACTTCTCCAAGCGGACAAGGTGACGTAGAAAGGAGGAACGGTTGCCGTACGGCCCCTGGAGTTCGTTCCAAACCTTCTTAGTTTCTTCGTCGAACTGAATCGTAAAATTGCACTTCTCCCAACCTTGAGAAGTGACTCCCTTCACATTGTTAAACTCTATATTACATTGTAAGTTCATCTCGCTCTCGCCTGGAACCATTTTGCGGATAGAAATCGAAGGGTTTGTCTCCAGCATCTTAACATGGTCCTCGGACTCTAAGTTGTTTTTGTTCTTTGATATCTCAGTTGGGGTCTTCTTTACGTGTCCCTTGTTTTTTGATATGTTTATATTAGGTGGTGTCTTGTTGGGTGCGGTTTCTACATCAGATCCTTCATTCAGTGAAACATTTCTTACAATTGGGATACCTTCCTTTGCTCCATTCTCTTTATTATAACTGTTCATAGGAATTGAACGTTTAACAAATTTGACTTTAGACTTATTTTCTTTTTTTAACATCTCGTTCAATTCTTTTTTAATCAGCCACTTGCCTTTCGTATAAATTATATCAGGGTGTTTCATTTTCGGTGTACCATCTATAGAACTTTCTTTAAGCGAGACATTGCTTACTATTGGACTCTTCTTCAAATCTTGCACTCCATTGCCACTCTCTTTATTAACACTTTTTACAGAATTAGACTGTTTCGTGTGACCAATATTCTCTGACGTAACTTGTGTGGTGTTCTCAGACGTCTGAGTTTTGTTTTTTGATATATTCATGTCAGATATTTTCTTTTTGGGTATGATTTCTATGCTACACTCTTTACTCAGGGTGATATTATCTACTATAGTGATATGATCTTTTACTATGTCTTCCCTATTCTCTTCATTTTTAGCATTTTTAACTAAGCTTCTCATTAAGATTATATCAGCCGGTTTCTTATTAGCTGTGGATTCTATGGTCCATTGTTCATTCTTTGGGATTTTCTTGAGAATATTTGTTTTTGCCATATACTCCTCAAAAGCCTTGCAGAAACCCACATTTTGTGGGGCATCTGGTTTCAAATCTACCTTCTTAATATGTTCCTCTTGTGTTTTGTGTAGACTGTCTGGATCTTGAATACTACGTTTTACATTCTGTACTTTTTTCAACTTCTTTATTACACCTAGGTTAGGTGGAAATTGTGTGGGGTCTTTCTGTTGTTTTAGTTCTGTTTGCCTGTCTGCCTCAGAACTATTACTTTGGTGGTTATAATCATCGGGAACTGGGGTCTTGTTCTGGTCTAACCTTTGCTGTTTTTCATCGTCACTGCTTTCTATTACTATGATTTCGTCAAGAGTACTGTCGTTAGGCTTTTCAGAAGACTCACCGTCAATCTTGTCATCAGCTGCTTTAGATTTCTTGTTTTTAGATTTGGGTCCGGGTTTCTTTTTAAGTTTGTCATTTTGTATATTTTTTGTCTCATTTTTCAGTTGCCGTCGTACTTTTATGTTGCGTTTTTTGGGGAACCTAGCAAGATGATTAAAATATGTTAAAAACTGTATAGCTGGATAACTAGGATGCTGTTAGCTAGGATGCATCAGAGCTGTGGAACTACTCACTTGTGCGTCACGGTCGTTGAGTGTTTGATGGGCGGTCGCCTGTGGCGAGGGGGGTAGTTGTTGCGCCGGAGTACGTATCGATAACACGTATCACATAGGCAACTGTCTACAGTCAGTACCTTCTCGTCTGAAGTAGGAGAGAAGATTCTGTTTTATACAACTATAACGTTATGAAAATTTAAACTTTTTATTATTCAGTGACGATATAGTGCATCTTCTAATCGAATCAGACAGAAATACTGTGTGATTAAAGCTGAAAGATCAGCCTTGCTTTACTTATTGAATCAGTTTGATAAGTTAAAGTTATAATAATATTTGGAACTTAATAGTAAGGTTTACAAAAACTTACTGTCAAGAACCTTCTTCTGTATTTCTGGTTTCTTGATCTGAGCGATGTGGCACGGTTTGTCGAAAAGACGGAACTTGGTCTTGCAGTAGGAACACTGGTCCTTGCACTGTTGTCCCGTGTGGATGCTGAACGAGGATGCCTTCTCCGGGATCACCAAGAGCTTCGGCTCCACGGGTACGGCCTTTGTTTCTGCGGGAATAACGCATTCTTTTCGTGTTAAGCTGCCTTTTCTCTTTCGCTTTTGATACATTTTGTACTTCTGCCAATAATGGAATATCACCTTGTTTATTGCATTCATCGTCTACTCTTCCTGAAGTATTCAGTTTTTGTTCGTTGTGTCCTCCGGCTGAGCACCCGGATATGTTTGTTACATTACTTTTATTTTGGTTTAGATTTTCTATCGGATCGTTAAGAATACCAAATTGTTCGGTTTCAGCGTTGAATATACCTTCGTTATTCTCACCTTCGTTATTCTCTTTGTTGGCGGTGGCTGCATAAATATCTAACTGCATTTCATGCTGGTCATCAAATTTGCGTACTTGTGGCAAATGTTTTGTTGTGTGTCCTAGTACGTCGTCTTCACAATTAGCAATACTATCATGGCCAATTTCACGCGGTCCGGATGATTCGTTATAGCTAGTGCTAGGGTTGTCAATAACACTGAATGAAGTTGTCGATGTGGTAGGTCCTCCTGCTTCTATTGGTAAAGTTTTATTTTTTTTTGCAGGTTTTTTGCTACGTTTTCGTCGTGATTTTGTTACAGAGGAGCCAGCCTGGAGAAATATAATTTCCTATTAATGTCAAACATTTTCCATTAATATTTAAAATATCATTACTTGTTTGAGCTGATAAACAACTTCACAAAAAAACTAGGTGTCTATAGTCTAAGCAATTATTATGTTCAAGAAAGTCGTGTTAGTTACACTATTTATAACTCAAGAACGATTACATTGATTTGACTAAAAATTTGTGGGGAGGTAGCTTAGAACCAGGAGACGGACATAGGATACTTTTTACCCAAGCATTTTCTAAAAATTCTATGGAAACGAGTAAAACAGGATTGCGCGTACGAAATGGCGGGCAGAAACTTATCTTTGATACTTTTAATAGACTTCAACTTATGTAGGTAGGTACTCACCTTGTTGTTAACACAAAGTGGCTCTGAACGAAGATCATGTATCAAAGGGGTTGGGGCCTCATTGATGTTCGAGACTTGATTGGAGGTGACTGGTATACCCGGGGAGTCTTTATCCTGCGTTATTGGTTGCGCATCATCGTCTTTCAAAATATTTACTACCCCAAAGAAATCTCCAAACTGCACCATGTCTCCGTCTTTTATTCGGTAAGGTATGTATGGACTTAAGTAGGTCTAAAATATACAATGTATGCTATGTCACTGTCAGCTACCTACTTTCAGAAGCTGATAAATTTTAGTAAAAACACTAGTGAAAGAAGATGATTCTATGAAAACAAATGAAGAATATACATAAATGCACCAAGTTACAACTTATAACTGTAAATAAATAAAATAAATAAATAAATGGTCTTTTTCCTTTCTTTCTAATCAACAGACATGTGAGGCTATTAGGCCTTGTTTAGGTACTAAATGACTTCTATCAAACAATGATTTAACCCGTTGAAATTCATCCCCTAAATTTGTTTATACAAAAGTTGTCTCTAAACATTAGAAATAAGGTCTATAATGTAGTTTGTGGAGAGCGGTCACCGGTGACCGCTTAGGGATATATGGGTTAAGACCACTCGAATAAGTAGAAGTGACTTCAAGCCTGAACATACATATGTATGTGTCATGTGTATGTGGACTTGTATGTTTGTAAACACACCAATGACACAGGAGAAAATCCAAAATTGGGGGTCAATGACTTATTAAAAAATAAATTAATAAAAATATAGCAAAACATAAATATGCACTTACAGATGATAATTTTGTATATCTCTCAGATTCTAAATCCATAACCATTAATTCTTTTTTATCTATTATATTTATCAAGGCATGTTCTTTCGAAATACACTGAAAAGAAACATTATCAAATTGTTAAGCTGCAATGCTTACTATGTTCTCAGACAGAAGAAAGAAAAATAAATTATATCACCAACATCATGCTTTTATTTGGCAGAACCTGATAGATATTTTTTTTTATTAACACGGCAGATTTTAAATAACATAACATCACGCCTTCTATTCCCGAAGGGTAAGGTTAAGGTTTGAGTCTATAGCCATATATGGGGAATAATTCCAGACTCTGTGCTACTGCTGAGAAGTTTTTAAAAACCCTGTAGTACTTTACCCGACCCGGTAACCAAACCCAAGACACACCGGCAATCACTCGGCCAACAAGGCAGTCATTTTGGCTGGCAAACATTTTTTAATAATTAGTATGGTTTGACCACTGACCGCTGACCTGCGTTTAAACTGTCAAACACCGCACGGTCACCGGTGACCGCAACCTATTGTTCTTTAATTGTGTCTATAATGACGGTACTCAATGAGTTAAGGAAAAATACAGGCAGCGGCCATTAATGATTACATTATAGAAGTGGAGAATAATATTATTTCTGAGATATATATTGTTTTAACTAAGGAAAATTTTTTTAAATAAAATTTTTTAAATATAACAATCTCTAATGTACTTACACCAAAGTTTAAAATTATATTGCATGTTTCTCGGTCTTTTCCTATTTTGTTACGACCTATATATAATGGAAAATTGTGTCCACATATACCGAGATATCCAACCTGTAAGTAAACAAGGAGAGACTCTTTGTAACAAACATCGAACAAAAAATATATTCATTAAATACCTCTAGTTTCGTTATTAGGTATGTACATTAGTTTTTAAATATTTAAAAGCTATATTTACTTTAAATATGTATACTATGAATTCCAGAAATAGATCTACTAAAATATTCTACTTATATATTTAGTCAATAGAAGAGAGAATTTTTTATTTATCTACCCACAATTTGAAATGTCAAGTGAATTACTATAGATGTATTTTTAAGAAATACATTTTGCTAGGTGGATTTCTACTTTTATGATGAGGTTTATTATAATTACTATGCAAATTCAATATAATAACATAATTATCTAAATGAGCAGTACTGACCTGTTCCCGATTTATCTTAGGTAATTCTTGAGCAGACTCCCCACTTTCATTTGATTCCATAATTCTATTACACTATTTACACTTAATTAATTAAATATTTCATATCCTAATTGCGTGTAATTCGTATTCAAATCGCAGATTTACAATAACTGCCAAAGAAAGTTGTTTTTCACACTGCTGTCACTGTCATTGTCTTTGTCATCAATGTCATTTTCTTTTTAAGTTTTCGGCGCATACGCCTCCTACCCGCTGTTTATCCAAAATTAATTTTCTTTCTTTTGTACATAAATAATGTAAGATATTCTAAAATAACACCTACTGACTAAGTATCTCTTTAATTAAAATACAATATTCAGTTTCGTTGGAAAAACGGGAGCCCATAATCTTATTAAGAAAACTACGGGTAACTGGACCCAACAGGTAGCATTTAGGCTTTAGATCAGGAAGTTGCATAATAATCACATTGTTTTATGGAATTGGGGGCCAAGAGAAACGTTATTTACATGAATACGTTGGAAAAATTGGGGTACATTGGTTTTTAAAAAATTCTTATAACACGGAATTCTATAGGCTGACCCTATTTTTATGGACTTATAACGTTACTGGTGAAATGTAGGAACTATCTTCATTGAAAATGTGTATCTGATCAAATGTTAAAAAATTACCACGCCATGTAGCTGTAATGTCGCGGAGAACCTAACGGGTAACCGGGGCTCCGGCTCGACGTGCGGGAGAAGGAACGGGATGGTTTTTAGTCAGTAAGAGTCTGACATTCCCTCCCGCCAGGCCGGGCACCCAGGCGGGAGCAGTCGTTCAATGATTATCCCTCCTTAAAAAAATGTAGCTGAAATATATTTATTCTTCACAATCCAAGTTTTACCAAAGATCTTCAGGGGTATGCGTATCAAAGGTGTTACAATAACAAAAAAAAACTCAAATATAAAAATGAAGACTATATTATACAATAATAGACAACAAACATATAATAACATTACAAATGCGTAAACTATGATTACAACTATCAAAATTGTAATATCATACATTTATTAGATTATCACGCATTCATTCACTTTTAGGTATCACCCTTATATTTAGAAAAAACATTTTAAAATTATTAAATCACGACAATTTTACAATGGTATTGGGTAGTTTCTTACATTTTATTTTAATGCCTAATTCAAAACATTAGACACGTATTTTTTCCTTTCTCACAAAATGAAATACTTTCGACGATAATTATATTAATTTGAAAAATCGTAACGACCTCGCACTGCTAAATTTAACTTAATCTACGTTGTTACTTTATACGAGTAAATACAAAATACGTGTCTTATATGTTTTCATTATCTAACTGACGACGGACTAATTAGATTTTTAATTTTCATACCCTGGCAACTATCCTATAATAAAGGCATAAAATTGAAACAATTAAATGAATTAAACATTACAATAATAAAATTAAAAATACATGAAGGTTTTGGTTATATTTGAAGACTAATCAGACGACCCCACTAGTTCTGTCAGAATTTGTTCAAAATTTCCGTAATCAAAGTACCCTTGGTCGACATAAAACTACACTAGCGCCCTCTAAAAACTACGCTCCTCATTTTATAACACAATTTTCTTTTTATTACCAAATCACATAGGAACAGATCTAATTTTACGCGGTTAAAATTCTACATAATATAAACAAAAATAATAATTACATACATTATATTACGATAGATAGTATGACAATAATTGTTTGTTGGTAAAAAAGAATCTGCTGAAACTTTGTACACAAAATAAAGGATATGCCTTTAGTTTGTGGAAAAATCGGCCATAATATTTCAACAAATATATAATGCGTGTGTACAGAAAATATTTTTTTATATCTATTGAATTGGTTGCAGAGTAGTGGACAGTAATGCAGGTAAAACAACGATTTTTCAGAGCTTCATAAATGCTAAAGTTAACTTAATTGTGATGCATTATTAAAATAATTGTTGATTGGAGAAAAATTGGGTGCAAAACCTGGACTTATTTTAATCAATTTAATCCATATTAAAGAAATCTTTTATAAATTATTAATTATCCAGTTATACCATATTACGTAACATCTTTTAGATCTCTCATTTAAGGACACAAAAGACGATGCACTACAATCTAACTGTACATTTTAAATTCTAAAAACTTACCACTAACAGTTGCCTAGCCACCAGCTTAAAGTCCTTGAACACTACACAAAAATAGGTAAAACAAGTAATCGAAAATTATCAAATACAAAATGAAATATTTACATGTAATTTTAAACAACAAATATCAGCTTTACTACTACAACAAAAGGCCTACAGCAGTTACTATTAGGTAGATATTTACTGAATAATTTTAAACAGACACGAGATTTGTACTTTATGAGTTTCTTCTAAAATATTCCGTAAAAACTCGATGGTCAAAATAGATTTATTTACAAGAAACATTAGATTTCAGAGCCTGCCTGTATTATTATTACGAACATTAATCAACTTGCATCATTTCGATTAAAACTAAAAGAAGAAAAAGGAGAGGATTAAAGCCTCCGGAGGTTCCACTAAAATGCTATATTTCACTGGGAAGCAAAGCCGGTGAAAAAAGGGGGACATAGTCTCTTGAAACAACGACTGTGGCACCTGGCTACTATAGACTGTGTGTATGTGAGTAAAATAGTGTAGATGTCTAAATTTTTTATGTCATACTCTTGACAACAATCAAAATATTGAGCACATTACTTGACGAATCTTTTGACACAAGGCAGTTTTCTACCACTCTATGTTAAAAAAGACATCAAAAATATCTAAGAAAAAATGTCCTTCAAAATGCATTAATGGTTAAGTATCCGGGTCTCTTCAATGTACAATTTGCACAGTTACTTAATATGTAGTGTTAGACAACGTATTTAATCTGTGTTATCGGCAGCACTAGCTGTCATGGTGGCGTCAACATTTGACAGATGACAGCGCTGTCATCTGTCAAATGTGACAGATTACAAGTTTTCCGCGCAAAGAGTGGTAACGGGCATTCGGGTTGGATATTTGACGAGCATTACGCTGTTTTCTTATAAGAATTCGTTTTATAATAAACTTTCAATATTAGAGTATTGAGATTTACTTAAAAGTAGGAACGAAAATAAAGATTAATTCAGTACAGTGACAGAAATAATTTTTAGGCTATGTAGTCAATTAATCATTACAAAAGACTTCATGGCATTCATTCGAAATGCCTTCATCGAAACCATTATAATAACTTTTGTTGTGTATATTTCCTTACCTGCATACCACGTAACTGTGCAGATTGTACTTAGTTTAAGGTATTACTGGCTATTTCGAGTTTCTGTCTCAATACTCCCCCGAGTATGAATTCCGTGGAGACCATTATGGCTCCACGTCGCCTGAGAGCTGGCCAGAGATCCTTATCCTTGGGACAGGACACACAGACCCAGTTTGGTCCACTTTCCTTCCAAGTACCGCCTGAACACTCCACTATCACTGAAATAAAAATTACACTTGTTTGATGACAGGAAAAACACTTATCTTATATATTTGGTTCTTGTTGAACAAAACAGCAAAAGTTCTGGTCTCTGCTCACAAAAGCAGAATGTTCAGTTTAGCCTGTTCATGAAATGTAATTAGCAATTTAAACAAAAAAAAATAATAAAAATATCCAAAGCGAGGAGAAAGTGGGCAATGGCACCCAAGCAGACGGATCACCTGATGGTAAGCAATCAGCACTGCACATGGACACACATGCAAGATCAGAGAAGTTACCAGTGCCTTGTTAGCATTTTGGGGCTCAGGGGCTCATTCAAGAACTAGGAATTTTGATTTCTTCATCTTACTCGTACGGCGAAATATAACGCAAGCGTTATTTTACACCGTGGGCCTTACTCAGGCCAGATGTTGTCGAAAATGGTCATTTGAATCTTATAGATAACTAGTTTTGCAGCTTCTGTAATTGTTGCGCACATTTTTAAAGGAGAGGGGGACTGGACTTCTGGGCCCAGCAGTTAACTACGAGAAATATGTCTCAAAAAAACCGGTACATTTTTCTAAACAAAATTACAAAATATGGTACCAGGATTCTACCCAGGAAGCGAGAAAACTTAAATTAATCTTAATTTAAATTATTAACTTAAATTATTATCTAATAAGACTAAATGATCGATTAAATAAGCCCTAGTAATCGATTACTAATAAATCGCTACAATCTGAGAATATTTGGCTGATCTTTTTTTTGTTGTGTTTGTTATTGTCAAGAGCGCTTGCTCGCTTGATTGCGCGTACGAAGTTGCGGGTAGAAGCTAATACGTATATGAATATCAATTCATTAAGGTTTCGTGAAATCGATTTAATCGATTATAGTGTATTTTTGCTTGCTTGCTTTTGATTGACAATGACTGACAGATGTACTTGTTTGTTTACTTCCATTCTGAGTGCGCACGTATTTTTCTTATTTTATATTGTTTAAACCCACGACCTCGGCTTTGCATATTATAACGGACTATACGACGGATCTTGCTACTCTGAATTGCCTGACTCTCTATTTTGGACAACTGTTACCCCTATCACAATAGGCTCACCCCTTATTACATGGGACTCATAACGTAAATAGTGAAAAGTGGGTGTTACATTGTACAGTGGTATAATGTGCACCTCTGCCTACCCCTTCGGGAATAAAAGGCGTGATGTTATGTTATGTTACCCCTATCAATTGGATATCGACGACATGGATCGCTGTATAAATTGTACGATTGCGATTGGTCGCAGTAATCCAATTGGGAGAAAACTCTTGGAGAATGAGGTGATTTTAACAGTTATTCGTCAGTGGCGAAGTGAGTGATTCAAAAGTATTTCAGAAATTACACAAAAAAATCACAATGTTATACTATAACCTAACTTTTACTATATATATTCAGATAACTTGGTTTCTAGGAAGCCAAATTTCACCAAATTCTCAGTTAAGCCTTGATATTATATCCTCTTACATATGAGGCTAATTTCATTTAGTTAACACCTGGGCCCAGGAATCTATGGAGCTATTCCCTTCTCCTTTGTTGCGCTTATAGTTTTTTTAATTATTCCCAGCAGGAAATGTTTTTTCTTGCTGGGGTAACGTTACCCCAGCTAGACCCTTTTCTTTCTAATGGGAATATTTAAATAACTTCTAGCTATAAAATGTATGGTCGAGATGAAATGTTGTGTCTTATTTTGTATAGCCATGTACAAAATATGATAAGAATGCGTTTAACCATTTCAAAGATCTAGCAAAACCAAAAACGTTACCCCAGCAAAATCTTGAATAACTTCGCAACCTAAGAAAGAACAAATACAAAATAATGCACAACATTTACTTCATTTAGACACCTAATTTTATAGCTAATAATATTATTTATACATCTCCATTAGAAAGAAAAAGGTCTAGCTGGGGTAACGTTACCCCAGCAGGAAATTTGGAAATTTTTATGTGAAATAATTAAAAAACATTTCCTGCTAGGAATAATTAAAAAACTATAAGCGCAAAAAATTTTAAAATGTGCGCAACAATTACAGAAGCTGCAAAACTAGTTATCTATAAGATTCAAATGACCATTTTCGACAACATCTGGCCTGGGTAACAGACACTTTTACACCAGTTTTCAGAAGCTTTGTCATTAAGTTTTAAAACATTTAACTGTTCGTCATTTATAATTCCACTTACATTTCATCTCAGAGGCATTGGGTTGTACATTTGGTGTGGAGGACACATTGTACCCCTTCAGGAAATTTCTATTGCTGCTCAGGGTTCTCTGCAAGTTGAACTGGAACCTCTGCTCAGCAGCCTCGTCCTTCACCAAGTATAGCCAAGGATCTGAAAGTGGATGGCATAATATTTTAATTTAACACATTCATCATCATCATTATTAAAAACAAATTCCTTGTTCATATAAAGTAGGTCGATTTTTTCATTATTTTGGGCAGAATATAACATTAGTAAAATCTCTGTTCAATTAAAATTGGTTTAGTAGTTATATTTTAAGCGTGAAAGATTGGCTGGCGCCTTCTTCTTCCGGACGTTTACGATCATTAAGGTGCTACCTGCATTCTATTCACTTTCGAATTTTTTATCTTATACAAAAAACAATGTGTGCGTTACCCAGGCCATATATTGTCGAAAATGGTCACTTGAATCTTATAGACAATTAGTTTTGCAGCTTCTGTAATTATTGCGCACATTATTAAATTTGTTGAGCTTATAGTTTTTTTAATTATTTCACGAAAACATTTCATGCTGGGGTAATGTTACCCCAGCTATACTACGTTTGTTTAGGTATTAGAATTTTTTTCACAAATCTGGCCTTGTTCGTCGAATTTGCTCTCTTAAACGCCACATAACGCTCAAATAATATTCCTTATTTACCGTTAGACCTTCCGGTAAGAATTCAGAGTGCACAACACCGCGATAGTCAAAGAAAACAGTCAACATGACTTTGACTTTTGATCGACTTTGGCGTGGTTTTTTCGGTCTCAGTTCAGTTGGAAGGCACCATTCCGAAGCTTGTTGACTAGTTTGCTTGTCAAACTCGTAAACCCACGTCTCGTCACCAGTAACAATGCGTTTTATGAATGTTGGGTCCAAACTGACTAGTTCTAGCAAGTTCTCAGTCACTTTCATGCGATTGAGTTTTTGGAGAAAATTCAGATATTTTGGGACTAGCCGAGCAGCAACTTGTTTCATACCCAAATGATTAATTAAAATGGTACGGATATACAGAAAGTTCGGCGGCTATCTCTCTCAGAGTTGAATGGGGATTTTCAGTCACTATTTCCTTCACTATTGCGATGTTAACTTCAGTTGCAGACGTTGACCAGTGGCGTGCAGTCCATATAGGCGAAAAGGCTTTGCCTACCTATAAATATCGTGAATATATAACATACATAAAATGTACAAACGCGTTTATTAAAATTCAATAATATAATAAAAGTTTGTAAAAAAACGGCTACCATAAATACGCGCCTTTGTAAAGCAATGAATGCGCCCAGCACGCACTACGCATGCGCTGCTATTCCTTAAATCTTGGATGCTAGTTGTGACGTCACGAAAGTAATGTACCAAAAGTATGCACCGCGCATGCGTGAAGTTCACGACCATTGTCACGGTACAGAATAACCATTCATAATTATATTACACGATTCCTGTTGCTTGACAAAATGTTTGCAACTAAAAAATTAGAGGACCGTTCGTTCATCACTTGGAAAACGATCGTATTTTATTAAGAATTCTAAAACAATAAAACAGCAACAAGTTATTGTATTTTTAAAAACAATTAAATCATAAAAGGATTGCAATTGATAAAATCTGTATATCGTAAAGTACTGATGAATGGAGTACACCAGCGCCATCTATTGAATTTTTTGTTGAAACTTCTGAACTCGTTCGATATAATGCGTATGTATTTTTATAATTGCGTATTTAACAAATATGTTTTAAGTGTTTTAATTAAAGCTTAAAATTTTTACGCTTTGTCGGTTTATAGAAATTTTAAACGAGGAGTTGTCTTTATTATTAGAAAAGTTAAAAGGAAGTTATTGAAACTTCAAGATGGCGCCATTTACAACGTTTCAAATTATTATGAATGAAAACCTGTGCACGCCACTGACGTTGACGGCCTACCAAAGCGAGGGAAATCTTCCATCACATCTCGACCGCTTTTGAACGGTTTGAACCACTCATAAGCGCGAGTTTTTGATAAAGTCGATTCACCTTAAGCCTTCTGTAAGCTATTTATTATTTTGTTTTTTTTTTTATTGCAGAACAAATTTAAACAAATTCCTAAGAAGCCATGTACAAAATATGATAAGAATTCACTTAACAATTTCAACGATCTAGCAAAACCAAAAACGTTACCCCAGCAAAATCTCAAATATCTTCGCAACCGATGAAAGAACAAATACAAAATAAGGCACAACATTACTTCATCTAGACAACTAATTTTATAACTAGTAATTATTTAAATATACCCATTAGAAAGAAAAAGGTCTGGCTGGGGTACCGTTACCCCAGCAGGAAATGTTTTTGTGAAATAATTAAAAAACTATAAGCGCGATAAATTTAAAAATTTGCGCAACTACATATTACAGAAGCTGCAAAACTAATTATCTATAAGATTCAAATGACTATTTTCGACAACATCTGGCCTGGGTAACGCACACAAAAACAATTTAGACCAGATGGTATGTCGTTGCTGCCTTGGAAGATGGGTAGGCCTTTGGTGTGGGACGCGACGTGTGTAGACACCCTTGCGCCATCACATCTTTTAAGCACCGCTGCATGCGTTGGTGCAGCTGCTTCCACGGCAGAGGCCCTCAAACGGCGTAAATATTCAAATCTAGTGGGTAACTACTGTTTTGAGCCGTTTGGGGTCGAAACACTTGGGCCATGGGGTCCCAGTGCACACTCTGTGTTTAAAGACATCGCCCGTAGGCTAATCGACTCTACACGTGACCAGAGGGCTGGCTTTTTCTTCGGACAGAAAATAAGCATTGCCATTCAACGTGGCAATGCTGCCAGTCTTCTGGGAACTTTCCCCTGTGATAGTGATGCGGACGAATACTTTGACGCCTAAATTAAGGGTATAATTTTTGTTGTTTTCTTTTACTTTCTTTTTATTTAATAGTTTAGATTTAGACCTGTATTCAGAAATAACCAAAGAAGAATAAAGGTTACTTACCAACAATCATGTGTGTGTCGGCGCAGGCTTGCACCCAGCCAGGCCCGACGATGGGCCGGCCCAGCCCCACGGCACACAGCAGTTTAAATGTACGCTTTATTTGCATCGTCAACACCACCGTGCATTCCATCACATTCGTTACTATTACTGCTCCTGAAGTAATAAAGGAAAATGTATTTTGTTAATCAAGCGCAAGATATAAGAAATGGCATAAATGCTCACTTGCTGACATCTCATAAAATGTGTATTTTTTTTTAATAATCGTAGATTAGATCACGTATCACGTTAACATCTGTACTAGCAGCTTTTTTGCAACCGCTATAACAGATAGTTTAAAATATCAAAATAAATCTTACCTAGTTTCTCCAACTTTTGTTTAACATCTGCGCTGGGGAATGCCGTGAAAAGTACGTGATGAGTCTTCATCACTCTCGCCGGGGTTGCCCGTAACGACGCGTTGCCGATGCCGCTGGTGCGCAAGGAGTTGGTCTGTGCCCGCGTGCGCTTGGAGCTGGGCGCGTCACTACAGTCCAACATAGACCTCTTCAAACTGCGCGGTGACTCACTACTCGACGACGAGATATTGTACACCGTGCTCTGCTCATGAGTACTGTTCTTCAGAATAGACTTAGGAGCTTTCACTTCACTTTCCTCGAATTTCGTTTTCGGTTTCCTCTGTCTTTTACTCCTCCTAACTTCCATTTCAGGTGATTTCGACCTCGATTTTGGAGTCCTTGCCCTTTCAGTACTTCTCGCTACCATTTCAGGCGACTTTGATCTTTCTTTCTCTTGTTTCTTGTTTGTTCGCTTCTTCTTATTATCTTTCACTGTCACTTTGTAGTTAGATGATTTATTTTCATTGGTTTCACATTCAGTATCTTTTTTCTTAGATCTAGTGCTCCTGGTAGTAGGTTTACTGACCGTTGCGGTATCTAAACTTTCTTCTTCTTGAACCTGATTATTGTGAGATTTATCACTCGTTCGAGGCGTTTCAGATTTTGATTTAGTTTCATTTTTCTTGGGCTTTTCAATTTTTCCTTTAATCTTATCTTTGGGTTCGGTAACTTTATCTGTTTTCTTTCGAGACACGTTTTCTTTTTTCTCTTCTTTAACACTTTCGTCTTTCTTAGAATTCTTGTTACTCTTTGCCCGTTCGTATGTTTTAAGACGTTTTATATTTTCCGTGATAATTTCTTGATCGATGTGATCTTCCTGCTCAGTTAAGTAAGTTGGTTTTAAAATATTTGGACTTATGCTCTCAGTATTTAAGGCGGGTTTCCTTTGGCGAGTTATTACTCTTTCTGGTAATTTATCAACTTCCAATCGTTTAGTCAGATCAACAACAACAGAGGGTTTTCTTTTCTTTTTATTAATTTTTTTAAATGGATTATATGGTTCATGTATACTGTTTTCCGTTTCGGATTCGCTAGATGATTCTTCTGTACCGAATGACCTTGTGTGAGATACTAAACACTTTTTTATTTCTTGGCTGCTTGGTAAATCACTGTCTGTAAAAACGAAAGGTTTTGCCTTTTTCGGAGTAGAATCTACATCAGATAGATCACCACTAGGCACTTTTTCCAATTTTGCTATTTCAGCAATATTATCATTTTCATTTTTGAAAGGACTTAAGTCCTTCTCAATACCGTCAAATTTGTCTTTTACTTTATAATCTTCTACGGAACATGGAACGACTTCATCGTCTGTAGTAAGCTGGACCTCTGGTTTATCTCTTTGTGTACATAAATCATCAAAAATGTCTTGTGTATCATTATAATAATTAGGGTCTACTTCGATTGGATTACTTTTCTCAATTTTATCTTTTACATTTACTTTAGGTATATCTTTACTTTTTATCCTTATTGGAGACTGAAATGGTATTTTAAAAGGACTTTCAATCACATTGATAGGATTTTTGAGGGACTCTTTATTAGCAGGTACTGCTTCCTCTATTATTTGTGTCGGTTGATCTTCAAAAGCTACGTTCTTAGAACCAGATACACCTTCATCAACATTTATAATTTGTGTGGCCATGTCTTCAAGGGGTATTTTCTCTTTTTTATTATTATCTACTTCAATTATTTGTGTAGCAATTTGTGTATCATCATCAATGAGTGGTATTGGAGGAGGTTCTTTTTGATTCACGACAATAACGTCATCTTCACAATCGGTGGCGTCATCATCTTCGGCAGGTTTTATTTCGGGGATCTTTTGGGTAGCCATTAAATCTATGTCTTCACAATCTGTCGAACTGTCAGATTTGATTCTATTCACTCTTTTTGACGGTTTATTCGTTATTTTGTCAGTTTTAATTTTAGAGTCTTTCACAACAGGTAGTGCAGGTATTATTTGCGTAGGAGCTATATCAATGTCTTCACAATCTGTCGAACTGTCAGATTTGATTCTATTCACTCTTTTTGACGGTTTATTCGTTATTTTGTCAGCATTAAGTTTAGAATCTTTAACGGCAGGTAGTTCAGTTACTATTTGCGTTGGTGCTACATCAATATCTTCACAGTCTGTAGAACTATCAGATTTAATACGGACTGTCCTTTTAGAACAGGTTGGATCATTTTTGTCTTGTATCTTTGGTTCCTTTTTAGTTTCTTGTTTTGCTAGTTCCGGTATTTTCTGAGTTGGTAACATGTCTATATCTTCACAATCAGTCAAATCGTCAGAAGTTTGTCCCTTATCTCTATTACATGGAATTGGACTGTCTTTGGGTTTTGACTCATCTTTTTCATCTATTAATGGTATTTCACCTTGTAGTATATTTTGAGAATGGAAGTCTTCTTCGAAGCATTCACCGTCAATATCATCAAAGAGTACTTCTTCTTCCGAAGTATTTAGTATATCCTTTTTGTCTCCTTCAGCTGAGGATCTAGATATATTTGATACATTACTTTTATTTTTGTTCACATTCTCTATCGAATCATCCACAATACCAAATGGTTGGGTTTCAGCATTGAAGATATCTTTGTTATTCTCCTTGTTATCTGCATAAATATCTATCTGCATTTCATGCTGGTCATTAATTTTGCGAACTTGTGGCAAATGCTCTACTGTGTGCATTTGCGTGTGCATAGTATGAACATGGTCCACTGTGGGTACTTGTGTGTCCATTGTATGTACACTAGGTGACATGGCTATCTCGGGGGGGATTTGCGTACCAGCAGTAAATATTGAATCTGTACTTTCATTAGCAACAAGGTTAGGTACTTGGGTGTCTGCTTCATAGATATTATCCGATACATTTCCAGTTTTGAGAGACACGACAGATTCATTCAGGCTAGTGTTAGGATTGTGTACAAAACTTGAAGTTGATTTTTTTGGTGATAATAATCTCCGAGGTATTGATGTATTAGGCGATTTGCCTTGTGTTGGTAGAGTTGCATTCGTTTTTATAAAAGAGTTTGATAACCTCGACTTCACACTTATTGGCTGTGACGGAGTCAAAAAGGAGTCATCCTGAAATAATATTAAATCTGTGTTATATTGTTAAAAAGAATAGTAAAAAGCTCTAGTACTTCAGCAGTGGCAACTAAAAAACTATAAAGGTCAAATGCCACAAAAATTTATTTTCATGAATAACTTGCATCCAATTACTTGGTACCCACCTTGTCGCTGACATCAGGGGACTCCGGTATTAAGGTGGTTGGTGCCTTATTGAGCTTGAACACATGCTTGAAGGTGACCGGTGTCTCTGGAATGTCTATAGCCTGAGTCATTGGTAGCTCATTGTCTTCTTCCAACAGCCTGAACACTCCGAATATATCTCCAAACTGCACCGTATCCCCATCTTTTATTCGATGGGGTATGTATGGTTGTAATGTTTTCTGAGAAATAGAAATACAATGTAGTTACTAGATATATGATTTTTTTATGTAGACGTTAGTCGCTTTAGGACTTTGCAGGAGCACACACTTCTAGTTCATTCATATGCAAGAGTTTTGATTGCAAAACATTCATGATTGTGTGTGTACCTCGTGTGTTCATAAGTTTTGAGACAAACTTTTTGCTTATAAAAATAAAATAAAAATTACTGGCTGCTGTATATTCATTTTTCTAATTTTGAATTTGGAATGTTAACTTTTAATATTTATGATTTCGGATTATTTTATTTAAATTTTCTCGTAATGGAGGGAACAAAAGAACGGGAACGTGCGGCCGTCATTTCATTATTTAAGGTGGGAAGAAAACCTATGGACATTTTCCGAGAACTGAAAAGTTTTGGTGTGAGACGTAACTTCGTGTATTACACTATTAAACGATACCAGGAGACAAGTTCTTTACATGATCGGCAAAGAAGTGGTCGTCCACGCTCTGTGAGGACGCCTGCGAACATTAAAATCATCCGAGAGCGACTTCGCCGAAATCCATGTCGCACTCAGAAGAAACTCGCTCTGCAGACCAATGTTTCGCGCGTTTCAGTCAACAGAATACTGAAATATGATCTCAAGGTTAAGGCGTATAGCCGTAGAAAAGTACACTTTTTAAACGATCGCCTTCGTCAATTGCGACGCGAACGTTGTCCAATACTGCTTAGGAGACACGATGCGAGGAAGATACTCTTCACCGACGAGAAAATCTTTACCGTCGAAGAAAAGTTCAATCGACAAAACAATAAAGTGTATGCCAAAAGTAGCAAGGATGTCCCACCTTCAGCACGGAATGTCTCGCGTACTCATCATCCGGCTAGTGTCATGGTATGGTGGGGAGTTTCGTACGAAGGTGTCACTCAGCTTCATTTCTGCCAACAAGGCGTCAAGGTGAAAGCCAAAAATTATCAAAGTGACATTCTAGAGACTGTTGTGAAACCCCTGTCTAATACCCTATTCCATAACAAGTATTGGGTTTTCCAGCAAGACTCGGCGCCATCCCATAAGGCTAAAACCACCCAAGCTTGGCTGAAGGAAAATGTGCCGGCCTTCATTGCGGCGAACGAATGGCCCTCCTCCAGCCCCGACCTCAACCCGCTGGATTATTCTCTATGGACCGAATTAGAGCTCAGAGCCTGCCGAAAGTCCCACCCAAACTTGGAGTCACTTAAGCGAGCTCTTGTCCGAGAAGCGAAGCGAATTCCTCTGGAAAAGATTCGTGCCGCCATTGATGACTGGCCAAATCGTCTAAGGGCATGTATTAAAAACAGGGGTGGTCATTTTGAATAATAATTTTATTTAATTTTTACTTACTATCTACTTAATGTTTGTTAATGTTTTTATAAATATAAGTTTATTATTTAAAAAGATATGCAACTTTTAATTTGTCTCAAAACTTATGAACACACGAGGTATAATTGTGTATTGCCAGTAAGATTGAGCCAAAGAAAAATACTCACATTTAATAATTTTGTTTTGTTGGCTGAATCTAAGTCCATAACCATAAACTCTTTACTATTTAGTACGTTTATCACAGCATGTTGTCTTGAGATTGACTGAAAAAAAAAAACAAAAAATAAATAACAATCTGGTACATTATGGCCAGCTCGACCGCAGTGATACCACGGCCGAGCCGAAGACCGACGTGAAACAACGCAAGCGTTGTGTTTCGTCGTGTGAGTGAGGTTACCGGAGGCCCAAGTACCCCTCCTGAATCCCTAACAATCCTCAAATTCTTAATCCAAAAATGCCGGTAACACACTTGTAACCCCTTTGGTGTTTGTGTCCATGGGCGACGCCGATTGCTTATCATCAGGTGATCCATCTGGTCATTTACCGGTTAATCCCATAAAAAAACCTAAACCCTACTTTATCTATATTTAGCCCAATACCTATGACAATGTTTGTAAGCAGACCATAGAGATAAGAGGACTTCAATTTTACATGTGAGGCTCAACTTGACAAAAAAGTTTTACTACCTAAAAATGTAATGTACTTACATTTTGTGTATTAATATAATACATGTGATGTTGGTTGGGGTTGGGGGGATACTCTAGAACCTCCCCACATATCACCAAGGACAAAGGGGTAGGAGAGGGGATTAAAACTGCACGGTTGGCGCGGTGGCTGGGCAACTGGCTGCCGCGCAACGTGTCGCGGGTTCGATTCCCGCACGGAACAATTCTTTGTGTGATCCACAGATTGTTGTTCCGGGTCTGGGTGTCATGTGTATATGAACTTGTATGTTTGTAAACGCACCCACGACACATGAGAAAATGCTAGTGTGGGGCAATGTTTTTTTTAAAAAAAAAAGCTAAAAAACCTCATGTAATTAATGAACGGCCGCTAAGGTTACATTATCTGGTCACATAGCATTTTGAACATGTATGTACGCATTTGTTATCACTCAACCCCCCTTTACCCCACATATCAATATCCTAGTGTCCAAGGTTTAAACATTAACAAATACATTATAGGACTGGAAATGGACATAATAACTACATTATAATTAACCCCTTATCTGCAATAGAAAACACTTTGTGTCTCACGTATATGTAGGTCCCCAGCATACCAGAGGTTAATGGAAATGTCGAACATTGACATTTTTTATTAATATTGTTTTATTTTAGTTAATGTGGCATGATGTAACTTGCTCTTTCATAGTTATGGAATAAAGATTGATAATGATCTAAAATAATTTTTTATCAAAGTATTTGATAAGTTTTGCATTAAAAATATTTGTTATTTAAAATTAAATTAAATGCATGATATATCTACAAGGTATCAGGTAGATAAGATATTGGCAGGACCTCTATGAACATGTATATATTACCTCCAGTTACTTTTTAAACATTATTTTTAAATACATTATTTGAGTTCTCTATTACATATTTATAATCCATGTCAATTTTGTGATGAGTTAATTACAGAAGATAGGATGTCAGAGGTAAAAGAGAGATATTATAGTTGTTATGGAGATTAAAAAAGGCAATTTAAGTCTGATAAGTATAAAACCTTGAACATAATTCTAATTTAATCTGACAGTTGAACTCAACTAAAAAGTGTAAATAACTGTGTAAACTTAAATACAATGAAACTGTTTGTTGATAATCTCAGATAATCATTACAATCTAGGACGAATGAATGAGAAAGTTAACTTCATATTCCTAAAAATTATCACAAAAGTAACCTTATCCACATAACTTTTTCGTCATGTATAGGATACTTACATTCAAATTCAGAATTATATTGCATGTTTGGGGGTCTCTTCCTATTTTGTTTGGGCCCTTTAAAACTGGATGTTTCGCTCCACATATACCCAGATATCCAATCTGTAAGTAAACAAAACTAAATGGATTGCGCGGCAATTACATAAAATTCATTTAGGTAGTATTGTGTACGAACAATCTAATCTTGTGATTAAAGAACATTTAGAAACAATGAATATTGCTTGATGAATAAACATTAGGTACTTCATGGGGTTAATCGGAATTTGTGTAAAAATTTAAAGAGACTTGATAATCAGAACCAAATTTAAAACAACAAACTAACCTGTTCCGGGCATGTTCTCTCCGTTTGTGTGTTGTTTAATTCTTGAGTACACTCCAACCTTTGAGTACATTCCATTTTTGTTCTACTTCATATCAAGTTATACCATTTATATACCATTAAATAATGTAACCATCAGAATCAACAACTATTCGTTTTCGATTACTTTATGCCAGAATGCCGCTTGTTTATTTTCCCGCATTTTGACAGTCGCTGTGACACTCAATTGAGTGATGGTGTGTCAATATTTAATTTTTAATTTTTTGTGAAGTTTAGAACCGGGAAAACATGCATCTCAGTACTCAGCAAGGTAATTATTTTATGACTTGTTTCTTGTTAAGGAAGGTTATTTAATTTACTATTGAAGTGCACGTAAACTTTGTTGCCATTGTGCAGGCTTAAATCAACCCCTAATAAATAATTACGAACTAAAAAGACAAAAGTTCGGGTCTATCATAGACAATACACGAGACTGTTGTAATACAGACAAACTATGACAGACGGGAAAATATGAAAATAAACATGGAGTCATGGATGTCATGTCATGGGTGGAATAATTATTATTGAGTTTTGTAACTAATCTGAATTTGTTATCATATCATTTTGTCTGAAAGTCTTGATTTTATTGTGATTCCGACAGTGTAAATAATAGGATCGTGTTTATTGTAGTAGATTAGTGTTTCATGTTATTTTGTTGGAATATTTTATACATTTTCAAATAAAATTATTTGTTGTTTTTCGAGTTCATCATGGGGAGTGAAAAAGATCGAATGTCGGATCCGGGCGAAAGTGAAGATATACCAAGTGATTTCTTTGACGATTTTAACAGAGATGATTTTATGGAAGGGTTAAGTGTTATAGATAGCTGGGATGAAGAAGATGGTGCCGGCAAGCGACGTGAGTCGCGTCGTATCAACATGGAGGCTATCGACAACGTGAAGGACCTTCGTGAACTTATTGGAGGAGAACCTAACAAGGAGGAACCAGAAAAACCGTCCAAGTCGTTCGTAAAGTTTGATGATAGGTTCAAGTGGCGCAAACAGGAGTCTCCGCAGCAGAGATCTTCGAGCAGCTCTCATATGAATGATTTCATCAAACCTGGTAGCAGACGTGATCCTAGCAAGACTAATGAAGCCATCAAGAAAGATAAGGAAGTTAAAGTTAAAGAATACCTTGCGAAGCACTTGGAGTCTACTGATGATCTTCGACCTCCAGGGACTGAACTTGATGATTATTTCGACGAAGATAAATCTAAAGAAGCTAAGAAAACTCCAAAACGTGTTGTGGAAGAAACCTTGGATGAGCCACTCAACCCTGTGCAGGAACGGCATGTTCGGGAATCACCACCTCACTATCGCAGCCCACGTCGTCAAAGTCCACGCCGCGCAAGTCCCCGCCGCTACAGCCCTCGTAGAAGATATAGTCCTAGATGGAGTCCACGTCCACATTATCAACCACATCCATCTCACATACACCAGTACCGACCTCGATTCAGTCCACACAAATTCTACAGAAAACGGTACAGTCCACCACGGCGCAGCCCACAACGACGTAGCCCACAAAGACGCAGTCCACCACGACGCAGCCCACCACGACGCAGCCCACATCGTCGATACAGTCCACATCGGTCCCATGAGCGCAGCCCTCGACGTCGTCGACCATCCAGATCTCCTACAAGGCGCCATTATGATTCTAAAAGGGGACATTCAAGATCACGTTCCCCACATCAAAAAGATACTTTCCTATATCCAAATGAACCAGGAATGTCAGCGTATCCTGTAGAACCTTATAGTACTGAACCAGCACAGCTGTATACTGCTCCTGTGCAAAGTGAATTTCCTGGAAATGTACCAGGATATACATACCCACAAGGAGTAGCATATGGTGGTGGTTTTCCTGCTCCATATAACTATAACTTAGCACCTGGTGCACCTAGTGGAATGCCGGAGCCAGTACCAATGCCCTCTATAAACCCAATTCCAGCAGCTTTAAATGTAGCCCCAGCACCGGCCATGGTACCAGCTCCTGCCCTCCCAGTTATAGAGCAGAAAACACCATATGATGCGTTGGCACAAGTAATAATCTTTCTATTTAAATTGGTTGTTTAATTTTCGTGTAAATGACAATTTGTTAAAGTTTTAATGTTTCAGTTAGTTGCAGAAGGGAAGATTTCTCAAGAAGATTATCTTAAGCTTGCTCCTAATAAAGGTAACAAATAGGAGTAAAAAGATATGAACGAATTTATGTTGTAAATACCTAGTTCTTAATATACTAAAACCCTTGTAAAATTTATTATTGCAGGTGCAAGCAGTGTAATGGATTCAAAAACTTTAAGTGGAGGTGGGTATTAAACAGCACTAATCTATTATTTCATGCCTTTGCATGAGGCTACATAATAACTAAATAAGTTAAAGAAACAATTATACTAACTGAATAATTATTATTGTAATGGTTATGCAAAGTTTATCTAGATTTGCAGTTATTGTCAGGAGTCAGGAATAATTAAACTGAAGAGTTGACTGTTACTAAAACTGGCGTCAGCAATAAAATGGTGTTAAAAATAATTTACGAATTTTTTTTTAACGTATCTTCATTGGTTAACAGTGTAATTGGATGAAAATGGTGCTGCTTTTGTGTTTACAGTTATGTCTCGGTGCAATCAAGCTTTAGTCAAGTTAGAAAAATTGCTCCTGCCCAACCACTTGATGATGAACAACCATATTGTCAAATCAGAACCCAAGGCCTTGGAATCAAAGTTTTGTTCGCCGCTGAAGAGACAAGCCACCATAGAGTTCAACTTTACGAAATCCAACGGACCTGTTCTGGCGCAGCAAAACAAGCAGCTTGTGGAGAGCATTATCACTACAATTGGATTGGATAAGGTGGTATCCAGATATAAAAAGAAACTCCCCAAAGACATGAAGGATGCGGCCGTCCAGACGACAAAACCGTTTTGTGATGTGTGTGAAATTCGCGAATCTACAAGTTTCCAAGAAGCCAGTACTTCCACAGAACCTGAATATTTTAGTTCATCAGTTCATACTCAAGTTGTAGAACAGGATTTGGTTAATTCGAAATCTGTTTTTAACCCAACCGGCAGCATCTCCGATGGAGCATCCATCTCTATAGCTCATCTGACTCCCGCGCAGTTGGTATCCCAGCTAGCCGCGCGCGCGAAGACCTTGCAGCAAACCTCGCCTGTACCGCAGCCAATGCATCCGAATCAATATGGTAGAAGAAACCCCAACTATGACTATGACGGCAGAGGCGGCGGCGGCCAACAGCAGTATCACCATAATTACAATAACTATCGTTATTAAAATAACCTGTAAATGAGCTGCATATCTGTTTTAAAATTACATACTTAGCATAGGTATTTCAAGCAAAAACTAATGAACGTAATGTTGCGAATATATTAGTTAAGTTAAAAATAAACCTAATGTCCTCATGAGTAATTTGTTTGGCTGTACCTATGTTTCCGTTTTTTTTGTTTTTATATTTTGATCGTGATAGTTTTACCATAAATGTTGTTAAAACAGAGTTCAATAGTTCTATAATTGTGGTGACTGTGTTTTGTTGAAATAGATTTTAAGTACTGTACATATTATGTCGACAAAATTGTGAAGTTTTGTTGTTTAGAATAAGGTGGTGTTGTTTTATCAAAGGTTTTGATAAAAACTAAACTGCATTTTTATGCCAGAGCAACACTGGTAAATTTTATATTTTTACTCAAGTTGATGGCCGAATAACTGCTGTTTTACGGATACTTTACGGAGTCATTGCAAATGTGAAAAAATGTTATATGGAAATGGAACTTCTTCTTGCTCGGTGTCTTCGACGAGCCCTGCATACCTACTGGTCCTGACAAGCCGAGGCGTCTCAACTCGAAAGAAAAATAAGAAGATTGAAATTTGAAGTTTTTTGTGCTAGATTACCTATTGAAGTGAAAGCAAAAATTGTATGTCCAATCCAATATGATTGCAAATACCTTCAGAAATCTGTACCTACGTAGGTATTACTTCAATCTTATACCTCAGCTTACTAGAGCGAACTGATTGTAATGAAGACGTGATCATATTGGATTGGATTTTTAATTATGACTTCACTGTAATTTCATTCCTATTCCTATTTCTTTTGTACTTATTTCATTGTTACTAAATGTTCATCAAAATAGAATACTTACCTAGACTAAAGAGATATAGCACCGTCTTATACGGGTACCTATTTGTGTAGTAAACTTATATTAGCGTTAATTTTTCTTTATTTACCTTTTCTGATTAGATGGATATATGTAACAAATAAATGGTAAAATATGTTTAAGGTGAAATCTAAGAAAGAAAATTTTTATACTCACCGACTCTATACACCATACTGAAAAGGTAATTTTGGTAACTCTTAACATTACTAATTACCTAATGTTGGGTAGTTTGACATTGACTTACTTTCTGCGAATACTGCGAGTAGTGTTCAGACATCCAAAACCAAAAAATGTTTTACAAAGTTTATATAACTATTCATAGAACTTAAGTCAGTCTTATATTATGGGTGTTATGTTCTATTGTCATTAGATTAATAAACAAATAGGTGTTAGAAATTAAAGTAAAAGATAAAACAAAACGTCTGTGCAATTTTATAGGTGTTTATAAAATGTCTCAAAGAATAAAAGTTACAAAATGTTTTTATTTGTTTATTACGAAATGTTATTCCTCAACTGTAACAGAAGACTCAAGAAATACACACTTCGAAGCGTAATCTTGTATATTTTATTTCTTAATACATACCAAACATCTTTTTAAAATAATAACAAAATATTAGAAATAACAACTGATATAAAATTTTAAAGATTATCGAGTAAGTATCAAATTATGCCGAAAAATACATATAAAACAGGAAGAACCCATTCAGTCTAATGGTGCGTCCACAACTCTTGAAGTCCTCACTAGCGGCACATTCACGAGATGTGGCCGCATCATTATGTTCAGGAAAAAATAAATACCTACCCACCGAGGTTTTATGGGACGAACATTTTTTTTTGGGACTCCGTAAGTACTTTTTGGAAACCGTAAACAAAAAAAAAACCATTAGAATGTATAAATTTCATTTCATTAATCTTAGTTCGGGCAGCAATATGCTCGGTATCGAAAGAAACGTTGATTGATGGTAAATATTATTTAGAGCTTTTCCATTTCTCAACGATTGATCACTAATCGATTTTCGATTTCTATATATCGAGACATAATAATCGGAATAATTTAGTATAACAAGACGTAAACGTATTATTAATTTATTTATGACTATATTATACAATAGAAAATAATGTAAGTATTTGTATAAGGTTAACCAAAAAGGTTACTGTGATATCTAACCATCTAAAAAGTCATCTAGCCACTTCTCAAGATCTTCTGGAGATTCAATTACAGGATTTTTCTTTGTTTCTTCAGGTTTGATTGTCACTGGAATGATAAATAAATGTTTTTAACATATTAATTTTGTTTTAATTGCACAAGAATTTATATTTTATTCCCAATAAACATAACATCACGCCTATTATCCCCGTAGGGGTAGGCAGAGGTGCACATTATGCCACTATATACAATGTAACACCCACTTTTCACTATTTATGTTACAAGTCCCATGTAATAGGGGGTGAGCCTATTGCCATATACCGGGCACAATTCCAGACTCCGTGCTACTACTGAGAACTTTTAAAAACCCCAATAATACTTTGCCCAACCCAGGAATCGAACCCGAGACCCCTTGCCCGGCAGTCGCACTTGCGATCACTTTGCCAACGAAGCAGTTTATTCCCAATAAAGTCGTAAGTATTTACGTAGAAGGGTCGCTAATTCGTTTTTATGGAATCGGGACTAGCGACCAGGCTTATGCTAAGCAATCAGCGTCACCCACTGACATCTGCAACACCAGTCACAAGTGCGTTGTGACTGGTGTTGTTCAGATTAGATCAGATCTTTAAAAATGAATATGCACTTCCCCTGAATCATGGAAGCTCTTTCAATAATATGACAATTGACAACCATTTTGCTTCGGAAAATTGCCCCTTTGAGATTTGTTGTTTTATCAGGAATGGTCCATCATCATCCTCATGGTTATGGGTCCCATGTAATAGGGGGTGAGCCTTTTGCCATATACCGGGCACAATTCCAGACTTCGTGCTACTACTGAGAACTTTAAAACCCAGTAATACTTTGCCTGATCCGGGAATCGAACCCGAGAACCCCTGCCTGGCAGCCGCACTTGCGAACACTCGGCCAACGAGGTAGTATTCATAATATAATAAAAACTGATCTTACCTTCCGGAGTAGCAATTGCCACAGGATTTTCTTTAGGTACAATAGGTGTCGTCTTTACGGCAACAGTAGGCAATACTTCGTCAACTACAGGAGTACTTTCAACAGTTTCAATATTGCTTACAGGTTTTTCTACAGAACTTGCTGTTGGAACATTATCGACTTTGGGTTCTTTAACAATTTTGTTAGTGTCCCCAAAGAAAAAATTATCCAGTTTATCTTCCTTTACTTCGATTTGGTTAACTGTAGTGTCATCACTCACAGGTTCATGTGTTGTCAAATTTTCTTCAATGGCATTTGCTATTTCAGTATTATTTTCAGTTTGCAATTCTACATAACTATCCGATTTCTCAGACTCCAGTCTAGTTTTACGTGCATTATCATATTTTATGTTTATATCGTTGCTTGTGTCTCCCTTAGTATTATCCTCTTTAAGACTTTCCATAAGATTACTAAGTATTTTATCTTGAGCTTCAGTTTCTGGTGTTGAGTATGATTTGTCATTGTAATATTTCTGTTTGAACCTCGTTGCTCTGTTATTCATAGTTAGAATATCTGTTTCACTAAAATTAGAAGTGTCTATAGAGTTTCTCTCGTAAAAAGGTATGGAACAGAGAGCAATATTCAGGTCTTCCATATTAATATCAAAGTATTTATCGTATAATGAAGGGCCTGTGTTTATGTCCCAAGACTTTTCATGTTTGAATTGAAAATGTCCGCCGATTGAAAGGGGCGCTTGTATGAGTTTCTGAAATTATAAAAAGGGTAAAGATTTCATTTACCTGCTGGCAACATTTTGCTCAATCATTTTAGGCAGGCGCTAAGTGAAAACTAAAAAATTAATTGGTAATTATTTATACCAGAAGCTCTATATACTGCAGGTCATGTTTATCTGTTACCTCATAACATAAATATAAATGTAAATAAATTACCTCATAATCAGCGCCCAAATTCTCTTGCTCCTCAATCTCTTCATAGCTATCAATTGGCACCTCATACTTGGCCCAGTTGCTTTGTATCTCCTTCTTTTTATATTTTGAATTCTCTTCTTCAGTTATTTTTAGTATATCATCTGTTTCTCGTTTCAAGTTTTTGTAAAACTCCGGGGGAGGAGGTTCATAGACTGGCTTTTGTGGTACTGTAACTGTTATAATTAATATTATTGAATTTTTTACTATGTATTTTGTATTATATTTGGACTTTTAACTTTCACACTAATATTTTGGCTGTGAAGCCTTGACAATTCTTTTTATAGTGTAGTTTGCAAAGACTATAATAAGTATCTATACTTAAGTAGTTTGCTAAAGACCCTGAAAGGTGGATTCCACTGGAGGAAGCTTTTACTCAAGAGGGACTACACACCAACCATTAAATAGATCTCATTGAATTAATTTATAAACATAAAACTCTGTAACAAAAACTGTGTCTAAAGAAATAAAGCTTTATTACAGAATAGTTTCTGATTTTATTTGCAGTGCAACACATGTACAAGAACTTAAGTGTAGATGTATTAAAATAGACAAATATAACTAGTTTACCAAATATAACAATTAAATAAGAATTAGAATGATATTTATAATCTTCAAGTACATAATTCCATATTCGATGCAGTGTCCAAACTTAGACGCTATTCATTTACCTATACCATACTAGTAGACGCTGGTACATAAATATGATAGCCTGTAATTGCCAGCATTGCAAAATAATATCTGAACATCATGAAAAACAAGGGTTATGTTTACAACATATTATAATTTACCTTTTGGTACATTTTTCGGTTCCTCAGTTTTCTTCTCTACTACATTTTCATTTTCTTTTTTCTGATTCCTGTGTCTAGGTTTTCGTTCTCTGCGTTCTTTTATTTTCTCACTAAAACATAGAAGATTATTTAAGTTTTCGTTTCAAATACTTTACTAACACACTGAAACTACACTAACTTGCTTTTTTTCGAATCTTCGGGCATTATATTACTGTTATTTTAGTAGGAATTAAACAGGAATTAAATATGTTAATCGCCGGATAACAAATCACGAAACAGCTGTTTGAGTTGGTTGGATACTTGGATTGTCCAATTGACGTTTGAAGTTTGAGTTGTCAAGCTAAAAAACATATTTTTTTTACTGGCAATATATTTTTTACTTAAGTGCTGAAAAGTTTAAATCGGTAATTAATTCACAAACGCTTGTCACGTTTTCGAACGTAAGCGTAAATAAATAACTCTGCAGTTAAATTAGACGGACTGCATTGCAGTAACATCACGTTGTCAATAAAATTATTCAACTGCATGCAGGTATCATATTTGTTGGTTGTCTTGTCGCAAACTGTAAAAGTGAACCGCAACTTTGAATTCGTTGGTAGATATTACACGACGCGACGCCACCTGACCAGGTGAAGTTGAAGTCACAACTGCGTGCATGCAGTTACTATAGGACAGAATTGGCACAGTGGCTGCAGGCTGCACTGCTGCAGTGAAAAAGTATACCTACAGTTTCTGTAGTGCAGTTCTTCTGTTGACGCACATGAGGATTTCTTCTGACGTTGTTGCTGAAATATTACCTACTAATTTAATATACCTACAGTAGCATCACGTTTGCAACGCGTCTCAGTCGTGTCTCGTATCTACGAGACGTATGGTGACGCGACGTGTGTTGATTGTGTACCAGGTACCTACCTACTTGCATGACTGTATTAGAATTTTGGGTAATAGGTACTCGTACTGACCTCATTCATAATATTTGTCACGCTTAGTCATATCCTTACATTAGTAACGCATGTGTTATGTATGAGATGAGGCGGATTCCTGGAGAAAAGTCTGTCTTTTCGGTCAATGGTGCCGCTACGTCGCTGAACTGGGTGCGTCAGACATTTGACAGAGCCCTGAGTCCTGGTCCTCAGTCACTTGCCAGGAAACAGTTAGATATAAAAAAACTGTAAGAGTGAGTGATTATGAGGTTAGTGACTACGTAACTGTATTTTTGGTTGGTCCCAGTAATCAAACCCGAGACCCCTTACTCTGCAAGTCTGCATATCCATAAGACCAAATAGAAGTGAAGAGTTGCTACGCATGTCATCTTCAAATCATAGTCAAGGATTTTGATTACAACGAAGCCGACTGACGAAGAAAGGTTTAAATTTTCACACAATCATGTAGTTACATCTCGGCAACATCCAAGAAACACTCGCATTAAAATCAGTAAACGTGTAGCTGATAAATATGCTACGTTAGTAATGCAGTTGATATAACTCGTATGCACTAGAGTTAAAGCATAATTTTGTTAAAAAACTAAGGCTCCGCGGATTGTTAGCGCTTAGCCACCAAATAAAAAATGCAGAAGGTTTACTCTATGGATCAAGGAAAAACTGAAAAGATATACTGTATATTAGGAACATGGTTTTGGACGTTGTAGGTAAGTAACTTGTAATAACGCTATTGTGTGTTTTATGACTCGAATATACAATATACCTGACAGTACCGTCTTTTCCATATGGGCAATCGGTGCCCGTGCCCAGCACCCCCATCCTCAGGGGGCCCCGAAGGACTAAGAATTTTACGACGGACTGGACCCGCACCCGCTACACCCGCGCAACTAGTAGCGAATTCGATTCCCGCACGGAGCAAATTTTTGTGTGCTCCACAAATTGTTATTTCGGGTCTGGGTTAACAAAAGCAAAAATTATTCCCCGAATTAATGTGGACCCAAGCGTTTTTAAGACAGCCCTGATACCTGATTAGTTTTCCAAGTAGCTTCTAGTCTGCCAGAGGTGCGGACGTAGCAGCAAGAGTCTGATACTCTCTCTCACCCCATCCAATTCGGGACTTTAGTCTCACAAAGATTCTCTCAATGTACCTTCCTACACGAATTTGTAAGAACAGAACTTTCTTAGGTTTTAAATAATTGATGTTTCTGTTCCTCAAATTGTTTGCAAGGCTTCTTCTTTATTTACTTGTTGGTTTCGCGTAGGCGAGTCTGTGGGCGATTGGTGGGTGATCTCCCGAATGCATCATTCGCTTCCCGTGACACGTTTGTACGCCCCCAGGCGAGCCGACAGACAACAATGCAACTACAGCCGTTTATTCTACTGCCTTCGAAACAAAATTGTAGGCAGGTAGTCACTACATTTTGTAAATAGGTAGGTAGGTAGTTACATAGGTAACTACCGTGTAAATTATGTGATCATAAGGTAACAAAATTTTGCGACACTGCGGTACAAAAATAAAATCATTTCATAATTAATAAAGTAGGTAGGTACCCAAGTGTTTAACATAAGTATTATGTAAGTACGTAAATAATAACAGCGAAAGCTAATCCTGTGATACTACAGTACTAACAAAAATCAGAAAAAGTAGTACCTACCTACCTATAAAGCTCCTTCATACAAATAACAATCTATAAGTTGCATAGTTATAAAACACGCAAGGCAAGGACAACGCAGGATTTGGGAACAAGGAAGAATGGCCGGGTGCGGGCGGGATGGCGGGACATAGGGTGACGCACAGCGCATGCGCCACGCAAGGGGCGGCTGCGCGCAGTCGCCACGCGCCCGTCCTCAAATCAACATGGCGCGCTCCCACAGCGTCCTTCAAGGACACATCTGACAACCCCGCGGCAAAAAAATACGACCCAGCTGTCATTTGCTGACACAAACCGACCCGTAAAAATTATAAAGTGAAAATTGTGTGTTATTTTAGTGCAGTGCAAAATCAGTGTGTGTTTACTAAATCGGAATACCGGCTCCTGTACGCCCCAATTGTTTCCGCAAGGTAGGTATGTAAAAACAATAATATTATAGTGGGTGATTAATTACTTTGATAATGGTCCATTGAGTAGCTGTTTACTTTACTGTGCTCCTCATATTTATTACTTTGTTATTAAAATCTGGTATAAGAAGTGAAACTGCAATCAGAGATAGGTACATGACCTACCCCCATAAGTTTCACAGACTCTGCTTTAACTCGGTCGTTTATTAATCTCTTCAGTCTTCACCCCTCAGCCTGGCCAGGCTTGAATGGTCTTTTTGGAATGGTCCATTTGTGATAGCAGTATTTTTTATAAGTATTTTTGATTGCGTTCGTCTTTTGTAATAAAGATTGCTTTAATGAATTAGTGTGTCGATTATCATTATTGTAAGTTATTTATTTTGTACAATATAATTAAAATTAAATATAATAGGTACAACAGAAACACCAGGAAGATAATAAATAATGTCATATGTGTACAGGAAATTAGACATAATGTAAGTACATGTCATACACCGATCTATCTACTTACTCGCCAATTTATTTTTAAAAATATGGGTACGTTTGCCTGATCATCGTTAATTTTGTAGTTTCGCAATACCTAAGTAGAATTTCCTTCTTCATCAAAGTGTTAGCCTTATTACAGTAGGTACATTATTTAGCATAATAACATATTCAACATTTTAAAGAATATATCGGAAAAATATTGATGAAAAAAGTCTTAAACTCTACAGATGAAATCGATGTTGTGTTGAAAACAAATGACATTAGTTTAATTGGATTTCTGTCGATCGGTAATTTCGTTCGCAAATTTAAGAGCTTCCGACCCTTTCTTGTGGACTTAATACGATATCATCCGACAGCATCCGTATTCCGCTACTTAAGAATTGCTCTCAGATCGGATTACTCTATTACTAAACGATTGTTCCACAGTCACTTCATAGTCAGTCAGTCAGTCACAGGCAGGCGGCAAACATATCGTAATTCTAAACTCAAATCGTATGATGGAATCGAGCTAACTAAATGGCTAGCTAGCGGGATCCTTACCGAGCTTTACATAAACACTTGGACACAATATTCGCATAATGAATTAACTCCACCTTGAATTAATGTCATTATCTATTGATATATATATACCTACTGTGTTCAGTAACACTGCAATTTCATGAAAATGGTAAACACGTAAATTAAGTAAGAACTCTATTGTTGGTTTCATAATTCTCAACTACCTACCAGGATATTAAGGATTGATTAAAAATATCCCCAAAGGGTCTAATTGCTGTAAAGTTTCGTCCTAAGTGATTTAGAATTAGAGGCATTCTTATAAGATAGCGAATGCCCCACAGGTAAAAAATATTCTCCTTTTCGAAGACTCTTCTGCAATAATGGCTTAAAAAACGAAACGGATAGCCAGATTTAACTGATGTATTTCAGCAATGTAGCCAGGTGTATCGATATCATTAAATTAACCGGTACCAAATAAAATTATTCAGGTTTGCATACATTTCCTAAAAACGAACCAGCAGATGTTTTGAACCAATATCGCTATTCAAACTTTTTAGGAGAATGGAAACGATATTACGTGAATGGAATTGCGTATATCTGTTTATCATTATAGTGATATCATTTCCGTTTGATTCTAAATCAAATGTACATACATGCAGTTGTTACCACTTAGGATCTTGTCATAACATTTACCCGACTACAAATAAAAGCCGATTAAGGCCCATTCAAGTCTCAGATTCGTTATTATAAAGCTCCCTGTGTGGTCTTACCACTATTGTTCAACAAGTTCTTACTTTGCTAAGGTAAATATCGCACTTACAAAACTTGTTTCGGTAGATTTTAAGAGTTATTAACGTAATCTAAGTAGCTTAATCTAAGTACTGCTTTTTGCCTGAGTTGTCAATTTGTTTTTCATTTCCATCTGTAATCCCGATGGACCCGTGGCCCATACCCGCGAGTACCCGTAATTTTTTCCCATCATTAAATTAGATAAAGAGTTGTAGTACGATGGCATGGTCTATTAAATTAACACGGTCACTGTTAATTGACTTTGGCAATGAACTTTATGATCTACATTTATGATGTACGATAAATGTTTACAACCGGTGACTAGTTACTTAATTTAAAACTTTATTTCTCTATCCGTTTGCTATTTAACTTTATAAGGAACCTGCATCTATGGTTTTCGCTGCGCAGGACATTTATAGGCCTGGAAGAATGCCAACGAACACAAGAAATAGGTACTTACATAAGGACTTCCAGAAACGGGACTAACTCTTAGAAGTTAGATTTGCACGTTATTCCTACAGCACAG